TGAGCAATTAATACTTTCACCTATTTTACCGGTAACAGGTTCAGAAATCAAAGAATTGGCAGGTCTTGGTGAGTGAACAGATCAGGGAGAGAGCATATGAATTGGTCTTCTTGCAGAGAAGCCCTGAGAGACCTAGAGTCAGCTGGTACACTGGTGATTTGAACACCTGAGTTCATAGCACTCACTTTGCAGAAACAGGTGCTCCCTATGTTGTTTTAACCTGGGGCCTAACCTCCCTTGAGAGAGACAGAGATGTGTGCATGCGTGTACATGCACATGCACACACACACACACAGATTACTTTTCACAACATGAAGCTCCGCCCCAGGTCACAGCCTGCTGATGACAGAGCTGTCATTAGACCACAGGTCTTCCTCCTGGCCCCTCCAACCACCAACCTGCCTGGCCCCTCAGCTGTGCAGACCTCTCTTCGGCTGCACTGCTGGCAAGAGCCCATGATAGACTGATACAGGTGAACCAGATTTTTTACTTTTAAAAATTAATTTGTTTTATCTCCAAATAAAGTAGACATTTATCTAATTCTGAAAGGACTCTTACCTTAAGTATCTTTAAAAAGCTGTTGTTTCCGAGTGTATTTTATATATATGAATTAGTAAAAGGAAAGATTGGCGAAAGGAAGATTATGTGGGTTTTTCTGTCTAATATAACTGTGCTACCAAGTGGATACAGGCAACCTGTTTGCATGACCCTGCAGTTGATTTTTGCTGTCTTGTTTTCTTTCTGCTTTTAACATAAATCTAATCACATCTCTACTCTGAAATGGTAAATCCAAATTCAGATATTTTATGTGGTGTAGGTTCTGGCTGCTTATTTTTCTTAAAGGAAAGCTCAGCTGATCTACTAGGGAAAAGGGGATTCTAGTAAAGACCATCTTTGATTTACACAGTTGAGCATAACCTTGGGTTTAGGGAGGTATACTCCTGGTGCTCAGGAGGCTTTCTGTGGGTGTCGGTTTGCAGTGGTCGTTGGAGATGCCTCCTCAGATTGCTGTCTGGTCTTGTTTCTGAGCCTTGCCTCCTACCACATGGCCTCCCAGTAGCCTGATTTCAGCAGTTGAGACGGTGCTGCCGTGTTCTGTTCTGTTCTATTTTAGTGATTGAGAAGTAGTGAAGAAAGGAATGTTTTCTTAATGACTTACAGTCATCCTTTTACATCACAGATACTATGTACTCTGCCAGGTAGAGAGCCTGTGACGGAGCCCCCAGAGCTGTTACCTTTGGTTTCATTGCTCTGTAGGAGGACTGTTCTGTGTTATAAGTGGATAGGATTTCCTTCTCTTTCCCTCCCTTACCCCTCCCCCCTTCCCGCCTTCCTCCTCTCCCTCCCTCTCCTCCTCTCCCCTCCCCTCCTCCCCCTCCCCCCCATCCTTCCCTCTCCTCCATCCCCCTTTCACCCCTCCTCCTGTTTTCCTTTTCCTGCTCCCTCTTCCTCCTCTCTGCTTCTCTTTTGCCTGTCTTCATCTTCTCTGTGGCTAGTCTTCAGCTGTTGGATTAGTTGCTTTCCTTTGGAAATGTCTTTTCCATTACTGGAATTACTTTGTAATTGGTTACATGAATATGTAACTGATTTGGGCACTCTGTGTGTGGGACAGACGTCTGGCTCCCTTCAGAGAGCTCACAGGAGATGAGCTTTGGTAGCCTGGGCGTCTGATGCGCCCTGCTGTGTTTGTTACTCTTAAGCCGTGTTTCACTGCGTGCCCAGCTGCTGCTCTCACAGTGCACGGTGCCGTGTTTGTCTGCTAATACATAAAGCGCGTGCTAATTAACCCATGTTGGCAGGGGAATTTGTTGTTCTATGCCCTTAGAGGTAGCCCAACCATTTCTCATATACTTGACCTTATAATGTCCAAGGGATTAAAATATCTAATTAGTGTTATTAAAAGAAATATGATTTAATGGAATATAAGTGTCTTCTGAGAAAGGATATGATCAGATGTCTAAAATGCCATTGTGTTGATCTTCCCTGAAATATCTTTAGAGTCTTCAAAAAGAGCAAGCCGAATTTTTTATCAGGTTGTCTACTAATTGCTAATGGCAGCATGATGTATCCTTATTAAGCCACTAGTGGATTATTTGTTACAATCACTCATGTTTTTGATAAAATTAACTTTGACTTTGTTATTAAAAGAGAAAGATGATTTAATTAATTATTGTAATTTAAAATGGAAGAATGAAGCCAGCAGGATTTTTTACTTTGGGCTACCAAAGTCACCGTAAAAATTAGATTTTCTTTGTTTACTTGTCTATCTGATAACCCATTTCCAAAAGAAAGACTATTTTTACCTTTTCCTACTTTGCAACCTTTTTCTTTGTACTTGAAGTTAAATTCTTGGAGTGTTTTTTATTCTGTCATCAGTACATTTCACTTTCTAAATATGTAGTATTTCTGTTTCATTTCCAAATTAAAATGGACTCACCTTTAAAGGTACATAGCTTAGGGCAGCTGCTTTTGCACCCAGGTTTCCCTCACATCATCCAGTTCTCAGCGTCCCCACCACCCATACAGACAAGCAGCCGCCTATCTGTTTTTGATGGCTTAGCTTTCCTCCAGGGTTTCCTTATGTAAATATAGATATTTAAATCTTTTATTTTTCTATGTAAAAGCAAAGAACATTATTTATACAGTTCTTATTGCTGTTTTAACTTTTTGTTTCTCGGATCTTTATCAGCACATAGAGGTCATCCTCTTTTTTTTGACAGCCACTTTCTGTTTCTTTGTCAGTTAATACCTTGAGTCAGACTTAGGACCCTTCCCATTTGTGAAGACTCAGACGTTTTCAGGCCTCTAGAAATTCTCTGCCTCTGTCTTTCCAGGGTATTTGTGTCTTCTGAGTGTCTGTGTCACTACCCTTCAGGCCTAAAGTGCCAGGACCTGCCCGAGTCCTGTGCACTTAAATACAAAGTCATAGAAAGAGGTGCAGGGATTATAGAGAACCAAGGGGTGAATGGGGATAAGGCAGGCGCCCCTTCACTGTCTAGGGCTCCGCCTTCGGGTGTTGTGTTCTTACTCAAAGCAAACGCTGGCTTTATTGCTGTCAGGAAAGTCTGTTTTCACCATTTTGGCCTCCAAAGAACCTGGCTGGTAGTTGCTCAGATGTTTATTTCATGGATATACCACTGTCTCTTCTCTGGCTGTTTTATTTTGCTGACTCCCCTTCTTTCTCCCACAGCCTTAAGCAGTCTTGAAAGCTCTCCTGCTGGTTCAGGATTCTTTTAAGTGTCCTGCCCACAAAGAGTTCAGCTTCAGCTGCTGCATTTGTGGATGACTTCCTACACCTGCTTTTCATTCATTTTCTTTCACATTCAGACTTGTAAAAATCTACCTCTACTGTATTTGTGCCCTGTGTGTACTAGATACAGTGGTTATATGTCAGTTTATTTACTTTTTTGCTGCACTGCACAGCATGTGAGATCTTAGTGCCCCAACCAGGCATGGAACCGTGCCCTCTGCAGTGGAAGCACAGAGTGCCAACCACTGGGCCGCCAGGGAACTCCCCTTGTTAATCCCCTTGTATTAGGAGGTCTGTCTTATAGATGAAAATGTAGGTTCAGAGGGATCACAAAACACATTAGGGCTGTAACTTGGAGTCACTGCACTTGATTATTACCTAGAAGCTCATACTCAACTAGTTAGGGACCTATAGCCAGAGGTTATTCAGTCTGTAACTTGGAGGCACTGCACTTGATTGTTACCTAGGATCTCACACTCAAAACATAGGATGTAAACATTAGAACCTTAGGATGTCTGAGTTCTATCCTAGGTTCTGCTGCAGTCGATGGCATTGAGCCGCTTCCTTGTACCAACGTTTCATCATCTGGAAAGTTTGGGAGTTGGACAAAGTACCTAAAGCCTCTTCTCACTAGCTAGTTATCATTCTAGATGTAAATCTAGGATTGCTTGTCATGCTGGACCTGTTTGCTAGTTCCTCTGCACTCCTGAGAGCCAAAGCTGTTTTTGCTTAGAGTGATCCCGTGCTGTGCTGCTTATGCTTTGGAGGTGTTTAAGCCCCAAGTCAGCAGGTTTTACTGAGGTTATATATCTTCCTCCCCACATATGTGATGCACTTACTGTCTGACTCGATGGTATTTCCATTCTGTTAAAGAAAATTTGTGTCTGTTGACTTAATAATTTTTAAGCAAAATAATTTTTAAGCAAAAAATACATAGTTGATTTGTTTTAATGATTACTTCTTCAGAACTTCAGGTATAACCTGGAAAGACATGTGGGTTGGTTCATTTATTTCTTAATTTTTTTCTCCGAAGTTTAAAGCCATTGTATCCATTTATAAAATAACTACAGTATTAGAGCATTTTAAATAATCACTGGAGAACTATTTTGATATTACTATATTGCATTATAACATGATACATTCATTAGTAAAGAAATGAAGACTTTGTATTGAATGGTCATATGTTTTATATTTATATTAGTAAAGAATATAAGGAATATTTTATGTTTATATTTTATATATTTATAAAGTATACATTTGTAAATATTTTATATTTATATAATTATATAAATTATATTTATATATAAATGTATGCTGTATATGAATATAATTTATTAATATATAATTATATATTAATAAATGTGTATTAGTAAAGAAATATAATGAAGACTTTGTTATGATCTGTATTTTATGTCTGAGTATTCTTATTTATTTATTTAAGTATCAAGTTTTTAACACACACTCTGCAGTAGGGTCTGATTTTCACTTTGGATATGCTCTGTATAAAGGTGGCTTTTCTAGCCTACATATAAAAACTTCTTTGATTTTTTAATAAAAAGAGCTAATACCTTCCTGGATATCAATTAAAAAGGTTTTGTTTTGTAATTTAAGGATAATTTATTAGCGGAAAGTAAAAAATGAACTTCTACATTTTCAATTGTTATCTATCCAGTTTGGACTGTATGTAACTAGGTTATTTTAAATTATTTTATGCAAAATATTTCAATTAATTTTTTTCTTCTTGTTGCAGGAGCTAGAGTTAATGCCAAAGACAGCAAATGGTTGACACCTTTACACAGAGCAGTTGCGTCTTGTAGTGAGGTATGAAATTTCTCTTAGTAAATATATTGTGTGGAAAATCTTTAAGTAGGCCTGCCTGTGAGCCCATGTGCAGATCCTGTATTTTCAAAAAAGGAACAAGCAACTGAAACTACCTAGACTGGTCACTTTACTTTGCAGTTTGTACAAACCAAGTTAATTGTTCCATTTTCCTTTTGTGACAAAGACCTCTTGGAGAGTCTGAAGTGGCAGAGAATAGAAAACTCTCCTTTTGTACTTCCTACAGGACAGCAGTTATTTTTCTATCTTAGAAATCTCTCATCTTGGCTTTTCTCTGCTGACTGGTTCACAATAGCCTGATAGACTTGTTTCAGAGGTTCTGCTGGTTGTGATCAGGAAGTAATCTCTGGCAGTGTATAATGGATAAATGAAATATTGTTTAGGTAAACTGTAAAATTCATTTTGGAAACATTACTAGTTCTCCTGTGTTGCCAGTTCTAAATATAATCTTAAAATATGTTGTGTCTTATGAAGAAGAACAATTCCTTATTAATAATCCTGTGCTTTGTTTGATCTTCAAGATAACTGACATTTTGTGAGAATTCGTTTTTATATTTGTCATATCTTCTAGCCCTCATAAAATCCTTGAAGAATAAAAATATTTCAAAGAAACTGTGTAGTTAACAACTTGCCAGAAACCAGTCAGCTGTTGGGCAGCAAAGATGATAATAAACACCTGGACCCTCTTTTTTTCTGTCCTTTTACTCCCTTTCTAAAATGGATTGGGTGTGTTTTACGAAAGCACTGTGCCCAGAGCACACCTTTTACCCATCTTAATATATTTGATTCTTGTTGAAAACATTTTTTTAAATAATTTAAAATATAAAAGGGTGTGTGACGGTGTAAAGTAGCATTTTCTTCAGTTGCTGAGATTGTGAAAAATGGAGAGGGTCGCTCCTGCTCCTTCTGCCCATCATGGGACCAGGTCCTTCTTAAGTCTGTTCATTCTCTGTACTAATCGCGAACTACGTCTTGAACGCAAAGCAAGCGCTGGGCAAGTGAAGAGGAGTGGGGGACAGAGTGACTGGAAAGAACTGTGAATGCTGTGGTGTGACAGAGGCCGTCTGTTGGCCTTTGGTCTTTGAGTTAGGAGAAGGAGGGAGGGAACAGTGTCCTTGGTGGCTGCAACTGATGAACTGCGGGGCTGGACTGGGGGAAACTGGCTTCAGGTGTCCCCTGCCACGTTCCAACTGGGTAATCTTAGGCAAATCTGGGAATTCTGGAAACTAAGACATATTCACCAAAATACTTTGAACTCTGAAATTCATGGTAATACTATTGAGATTGTGGTTAGCCCTCTTGTAAAGAAGTTTCTTTCGATAAAGGCAATTAAGAAAGATAAGCGTTATCATTGCAACTTTTTGGTAAGTTAATCATATTTACCTATTTTTTTGGCATGACTCTTGGGAATGTGACCTAAATTTAATGGAGTTTGCCAGATTAAATTATCAGGAAGAACACTTTGTATATCTGTAGAGATAACAGGCCAGAACTTCTAAAAATAATTAACTTAGAGGCAGATTGCAGGTTCCACCCAGAGACCTAAGTGCTGTTTTTTTTTAAATTATGTATATAGCTTGAATTTAAGGGCAAGCTGTAGGTTAGAAAGCTAATCCTAATAAGTTTAAGCTTTTCAACCTAAAATTAAGTTTAGTCTTTCATAGAAGTTAACTCTTCATGGACAGTGGGTGTCTTAAGGGTTAATTTCCTCGCTGAACTTGGGTTGAGAAAGACTGCTTCTGGTGAAGTGTGTCCCCCCCCGCCCCCACCCCGTTCCAACTCCCCCTCCATGACATACCTCCTGTTGCTTGGCTGCCTCATCTTTTCTCCACCTCTGGTTTGTGACTGTCCTTCTTCAAGTGTCATATACAGTTCAGCTCTCTGTAAATGAGGGGTGTTCTGAATAGATCTATTACTGAATGTTAGGGCTGTGTGTGTGTGTGTGTGTGTGTGTATTTATTTATTTTTAAAGCCACATCACCCTAGATCCTCTGAAGGATATGTGTTTATTGTTTTTTAATATAACCCCAAGAATTGTCATTTTAGTTCTGTCAAGATAACTGAGTTTAAAATAGATTACCATGTGAAGTATTACTGGTTCACCCAAACATTGTATTTATTTGCAAATGTGTTAGCCCTTCTTTTCGCTATGCCTGACCCCAAGCTATGAATAAATACTCTTCGGATATTATTTAAACTTTTGTTATCACCCCATCCCCATATTTCATAATCATATTTAAATCAGTGTCCTAGGGTATAACTTGTTTGTTTGAAGTCAAGGCCACCTGCAGCATTTCTTTCACATATGTACACATATGTACCTCTGGTGGTAGTTTAGTCGCTAAGTCGTGTCCCACTCTTGTGACCCCATGGACTGTGTAACCCACCGGGCTCCTCTGTCCATGGAATTGTCCAGGCCAGAATACTGGAGTAGGTTCCCATTCCCTTCTCCAGGGGATCTTCCCAACCCAGAGATCGTGCATTGCAGGCAGATTCTTTACCCTCCGAGCCGTCAGGGAAGCCGGTTTTCTCTGAATTGTCAAAGGTCACTGCTGTTGTGATAGGACACTGGCCTGTGTTGTTCTGAGTTGTAAATGGTGTCAATATTAGCTCACCTGCCATAACAGAATACCACAGGCTGGGTGGCTTAAACAACAGAAATGTATTTTCTCACACTCTGGAGGCTAACTGTTCCACAGGAAGGTTCAGCGGGGTCAGTTTCAACGAGGCCTCTCTTCCTGACGTGCCATGTCTGCCTTCTCGCTGCGTCCTCATGTTTGGTGAGGCAGGGGGAGAGGGGAGGCTCTCTTCCTGGCCTTAGAATGCGGTCGGTCTGTCAGTTTAGGGCCTCTCCCTTGCCGTCTCATCTTCCTTTCCCTCCTAAGTACACTTTGGTGGGGGGAGGCAGGACCTCACTTTGTGAACGTGGGGGTACACAGTTAAATCCCTGGCAGTGGGCTCAGGATTCAGACTAGTCTGTCCTGATTCCAGAGTCTGAGCCATTGTGGTGGGTGCCATCTTAGCCACCGTCAACCGTAAACTGGGTTTATTCTTGCTTTTCTGTGAAACAAAAGTATAGCTTTGATTGTGCTGATGGAACATAAATATTCCACACACTTTTCAGAAACTTATAGGTATACATTGTGCATTCTAGTTGGAAATAATTAAGGCAAACCTATCATCTCTAGTATGCTGTATATGCCCAATTTACCCAGTTGTAAATTATTCACGTTGCTGTTAATTATCTCCCATGAGTGTTATAGAGAGTCCTGGCAGCGCTTGTACCCTCTTCTCCATGATTCTGAGTCCGTATTCCTCTGTATGTATGTTTTCCCTGCGTTCCCTTTTTTTTTTGCATTCCCTTTTTTAAATTGAAATGTGAGTTACAGTAAAATGCACATACTTTAAGTGTGCAGTCTTGAGTTTGGGCAGATGTGTACACCTATGCAGCGCTTTTCTGAGTCTAGATTTTGACGATTCCGTCACTCCAGCCGGTGCCTTCATGGCCCTTTTCAGTCAGTCCCGCCTGTCCCCAGGGGCGAACACTGTTCTGATTTCTCTCACCATGGAGTAGCTTTGCCTGTTCTAGGATTTTGTGAGAATGGAATCATACAATGTGCACTCTTACATCCTGACTTCTTTTGCAGTTTCTCCTTTTTGTTGTGTACATCGGTGGTTCATTTCTTTTTATTGCAAAGTAGTGTTTCCCTGTATGTATATGCAACAGTTTTACCTATTTTCCTATAGGTGGACGTTTACATTTCTTTTTTGACTTATGAGTAAATAAAAGATTGCTATGACATTTTCAGATGGATCTTTTAAATTTTCTCTTGGGTGGAATAGTTGGAGTGGAATTGCGAGGTCACAGCGCAGGCCTCTGCATGCCCTTGATTAACTACTTGGCACATTGATTGATTGATAGGCATCTCTCCAGCCTTTTGCCGTTTCCCAGATTTCAGACCGTCCCAATTACTTTTTATTTCAAAGGCTATATGCAAATCATGAGTAATAGTATTTTATTTGGTGTTCCCTGCTATGTTGCATGGTTATAGTTATTCTAATCTTTTGAACACTGTGGATGTTAGCTTTTTTTGCTTGATAGCAGTCTTGAAAGGAGTGGTGGGCAGGTGCTACCCCCTTTACTGATAAGAAGACCAGGGGTCAGTTTTACTAGACTTGAATAGTTATACCTTGTAAATGACAGAACTGAGATAATTTGCTTCTGGTCTTTTTCATTTTGTATATAGTTTGTCGCTCCTCTGCCAAAAATAGGATTGTCCCTGCAAGGAGAAGATTTTTGCTATGTTTAGTTCTGATTATATTGCTTAATACTGATGGCTTACTGGATTCCTTTTGATTTGACCTTGAGTCCAGTTTATGGATGTGTTGTGACATTTTCCTTGTGTTCTGGGAGACCAGTCACTTTGAATAGTAAACCGTTAGTTGGCCTTGTTAACACCAACTTTCCCACAAGGTAGAATCACAGCAAAGACTTCCCTTTCTTCCCTCCCTGCCTCGCTCGCTCTCTCACTCTAATGAACTAGATCCTAGTGATTTTTCATTTTGTAAAATACAGCGTGTGCAATACCTTGGGAAATAGGATGTTTTAAATTTTTTTGTATTTAATGGCAAAGTGATAAATGTAATTTTTAAAGCTTTGAAATTATAAATTAATTGTATCTCACCATCGAGAAAAGCAAGAGTAGTGATGAATGTTTTTGAAGAATATTCATCAGTATTTCTTCTTGTACATTTTGATGGAGATTGATGGCTATGCCTCAGTTGGAGGATGGACAAAGGGAATATTTTATCTTGCTGTATCTTGCATGGCTCTGAGTACTGCCTTTAGTTCAAGGTATTTTGTTTTCTGGCTTGTTTATAGCAGGTTCTACCAAACTTTTCATTTCCTCAAGAAATTGTTTTTCCATCTTGCATGTACAATTTCTAAAGCTGTAAAGTCATTTGTCTTATGTAACTTATATCTTCGTGTGTTTCAGGAAGCAGTTCAGGTACTGTTGAAGCATTCTGCAGATGTTAATGCTCGAGACAAAAACTGGCAAACCCCGTTACACATAGCGGCTGCTAACAAAGCTGTCAAGTGCGCGGAAGCCTTAGTTCCTCTTCTGAGTAATGTAAACGTGTCCGATAGGGCAGGGAGAACTGCACTGCATCATGCGGCTTTCAGTGGCCATGGGGAGGTAGGTGTGCTCCTCCCTCAGAGTTTCTGTCTGCGCCCCTGCCCCCATTATTAATGAACTCGCCTGTCTCGCTCCTTTTTATTTATGTTTACCTTCTTCAAACCCTCAGACTTTATTTCATCATAATTCATGATCTACCTTTCTCACATTTAGAAATTTATCAGATACAGCCCCAGCCAACACTACTAACTGTAAAACAATGTGAAAAGTTTTTTCTGTCGTTGAAGGAAAAAATATCTAGGGAGTCAGCGCAGTCTCATTGTTCTCCCAGAAAGATGGTTGCAGAGGGAGTTAGAGTATAGAAAACATTTTCTTACAGTTTATTTTGAACATTTGTCAAAATTTCATTAATGAGAGGCCATCAAAAGAAAACAGTTTAAAAAAAATAGTAGTTATCTTATACAATGAGCATTGACTAATGTTAGTCGTGTTATAGCAGAGAGTGGGGCTCACGTATGTACATGGAAGACGTAAAAAAGAACTAGACTCGGTTAGAAGACCTTTTGAGGCCAGCTTGTCCAGTCCTTCATTTTTTTTGCAGACACAGAAACTCAAGTTAAATATAAATGGTCCTGCTGTGCAGCAGAGGGAACTACATTTAATATCTTATAATAACCTATAATGGAGAAGAATTTGAAAAATATATATGTGTATATTTAACTGAATCACTTTGCTGTCCCCCTGAAGCATTGCAAATCAACTATACCTTGATTTAAAAAGGAGAAGTAAAGTGACATTCCCAGGGTTCACTGGCTGAGAACCAGTTGCTGCAGTGCTGTTTTCACTCTTCTTCCCGGTTTTTGCCACATAAAGAGTTTTTGCCTCCACTGCAGTTCCGGTCACTAGATGAGTCCCTTTTTGACATTTGCAATGCCTTTTCCAGCAGGGAAAATATTGTAAATATGTTTAGACATAATGGAAATAACTACTCTTGGTACGTTTTGAGGTAAGTAGACTGCAGTGGCTTTCAGGTCTAATCATATTATGGACACTTCATTTGTGTTTGAATTAAATTTAAGACATTTCTGGAATCAGAAAGCACTTTGAATTTAAATAATACTTTGAGCTATAAAAGAAGGAATAAAACATGTTGTTAAATACTCTCCCTTTATACTTCCCAGATTTGTGCTTAGTTGTTCATAAAATACAAGGACATAGAGTGGCATCTTTAAAAGATATTGATGCCTGACTTCAATAACAACCACAGTAAAACCTTTGGTTGTATTTTGTCCTGTTGTTTATTAAATTATGTTAAAGCATTCAGTATATAATATAGTGTTTCTGCAAGTGCAGAAATTCAGTGCCAGAGAGATTTGAGATGAGTCTTCATGATAGATATTCATAAACAGTTCTACTCCTCAATTTTGATGAAACTATGTTTATTTTTATTCCAGATGGTCAAATTACTCTTGTCTAGAGGTGCCAATATTAACGCTTTTGACAAGAAAGATAGACGTGCTATCCACTGGGCAGCATATATGGGTATGTATTTTTTATTTATTTATTTTTTGATATTAAGTGTTAAGGGAAAGTTGGATGTTGTCATTCTTGCATTTGTATAGTATGTTTTTTAGGATAGTGAGAAGTTATATCTCAGTTTGCTGCCCAAGTGAAACCAGCTTTGTGGTGTGGGAGGCTGGCAAGGACAGGGGTACCTTGGGTCCAGTTCTCTTGCCGCCGCTGCCGCCGCCAAGTCATGTCAGTTGTGTCCGACTCGGTGCAACCCCATAGACGGCAGCCCACCAGGCTCCCCCGTCCCTGGGGATTCTCCAGGCAAGAATACTGGAGTGGGTTGCCATTTCCTTCTCCAGTGCATGAAAGTGAAAAGTGAAAGTGAAGTTGCTCGGTCGTGTCCGACTCTTAGTGACCCCACGGACTGCAGCCTGCCAGGCTCCTCTATCCATGGGATTTTCCAGGCAAGAGTACTGGAGTGGGTTGCCACTGCCTTCTCCCCAGTTCTCTTGAAAGCTGTTTAAAATTAGTTCTGTTTACCTTTGAAGGGAGAGACATCCTAGATAGAAGCCTGGGGTACAGAGTTTAGATTGGTGTTTGCTGAAAGCTCATTCTTATAGCCATCCTGAGCACACCTTTGTATGGGGATATTAAGGTAGGAGTTGTGAAGATGTATTAGAAAGCCTGTTACCGGACTTCCCTGGTGGTGCAGGGGATAAGCACCTGCCTGCCTGCCAGTGCAGGGCACGTAGATTCCAGCCCTGGTCCAGGAAGATCCCACGTGCTGCAGGGCAACTAAGCCCGTGCACCACAGCTCCCGAGCCCGTCGCTGTGACTCCTGGAGCCCGTGCTCGGCAGCAAGAGAAGCTGCCACAGTGGGAAGCCCAGGCACCGCAGCTCGAGAGTGGCCCCTGCTCACCGCAGGGAGAAAAAGCCTGAGCGAGCAGTGAAGACCTAGTGCAGCCAGAAATAAGCAAATAATTGTTTTTGAAAGCCTACTGGGCCAAGCACTGGATTAAGTAGGTGTATCATGTTTGATTTTTACCACCGTAATTGCACAGAAAGAGACTGAGGTGCAGATAACCAGCTTTTCTGCTTTTAACATTCTTGAGGGAATTCCCTGGTGGTCCAGTGGTTAGGACTGTGATTTCACTGCCAAGAGCATATTTTCAGTCCTAGGTCGGGGAACTAGGATCCCACAAACTGTGCCACACAGCCAGAAAGGGGCGGGTGGGAGGGGGAGGAATTCTTGAAAAGTCTTAGGATCTCCAAAATCTGCTGTCTGAAACAGAGTTCATGGGGAAATGGTACTGGGGCAGACCGCTTAAGACCTGTGCCACTCCATGAGCAGAGCACTACCAAGCATTAATGGGTTCTTGAGGTGACTTGGACAGCCAGGGAGGAGACACGTCAGCCTTCCTCGGATACTTACAAAAGAACAGAAAAGATGCTGGCTTGTGGGTGCCGAAACCACTCAGGCTGAAGTGAACCTCAACGTGCCCCTAATTTTGCAAGTCCTGCAGGGCTCGGCTCTGCCTCAGGAAGGAAGCCGTGGATGGAGGCATCTTAAAGTAGAGTTAAGAAACTCCTCTCTTTGCAGCCATGGAGCTCAGGACTTGTTCTCTTCCTCCCAGAAGTCCATTCTGCTTCTACTATTCTGTCTCTTCTTGCTTAGGAAAGCTCACATGGACTGATGCTGTGTCATGCTAGTCTCTTCCCTCTCATCCTGAGGTACCTTCCTCTCTCGCTGACCACAGAGGCAGTCTAGCCCCTCTTCACAAAGGGATGGCCTATTCCCATTATTTCCTGCATGCACTTTTGTCTTTTCTTAGCTCTCTCTTAAAACTAGAAGATTGATGGAAGATTATTGATTTAAAATTGTAAAATAGAAAAATGTAAGAAACCAAACGAACTCAAAGTAATTTGTTAATAACCCCAAGTCCAGGAAGATCCTTTGCTTATCATGGAAGTAACTCTCGGGCTGTTGGTGTTTCTCTCACACCAAAGGTTTGTGCCTCTAGTTATGTCATGGGCAGTTTTCTTCTGTTAATTGAAGGTGAAACATCCAGAAGCAAGTCTCCTGCCATGTCCTCCTGCTGTCTCCTCACAGCCTATAGATTTTCTGTATTAAAGTCTTGGGGATTTTTCTGAATACTCTAGCATAGCTTATTCTTGAAGACAGTTTAGGAACAACTAGTCTGATTTTAAACTATATAACTTATAGTAAAAGTTTCACACATTAAGCAGAGAGCATTAGGCTTTTTATCTTCAAAGAGTCAGGCTTGGCTAAACAGCAGTTTTCATAAAATTAAAGGCCGCAGAGTTTTGTGGGCTGTCTTCTGATTGGGCGTGTGTGTCTCAGGGAGAGTTTTGTGGGCCGTCTTCTGATTGGGCGTGTGTGTCTCAGGGAGAGTTTTGTGGGCCGTCTTCTGATTGGGCGTGTGTCTCGGGGAGAGTTTTGTGGGCCGTCTTCTGATTGGGCGTGTGTCTCAGGGAGACGTTTGTGGGCCGTCTTCTGATTGGGCGTGTGTCTCGGGGAGAGTTTTGTGGACCGTCTTCTGATTGGGCGTGTGTCTCGGGGAGAGTTTTGTGGGCCGTCTTCTGATTGGGCATGTATCTCAGGGAGAGTTTTGTGGGCCGTCTTCTGATTGGGCGTGTATCTCAGGGAGAGTTTTGTGGGCCGTCTTCTGATTGGGCGTGTATCTCAGGGAGAGTTTTGTGGGCCGTCTTCTGATTGGGCGTGTATCTCAGGGAGAGTTTTGTGGGCCGTCTTCTGATTGGGCGTGTGTGTCTCAGGAGAGTTTTGTGGGCCGTCTTCTGATTGGGTGTGTGTGTCTCAGGGAGAGTTGTGGGCCGTCTTCTGATTGGGCGTGTGTGTCTCAGGGAGAGTTTTGTGGGCCATCTTCTGATTGGGCGTGTGTCTCAGGGAGACTTTTGTGGGCCGTCTTCTGATTGGGCGTGTATCTCAGGGAGAGTTTTGTGGGCCGTCTTCTGATTGGGCGTGTGTGTCTCAGGGAGAGTTGTGGGCCGTCTTCTGATTGGGCGTGTGTCTCAGGGTCCTTGGACGGCTTTGTCTTCCTTGATGTGCCAAATATCATTTTTTTAGGCTGATTGCGAATTGTAGAAGATATTCTGTATTTTTTGTGCCTCACAGTCCATTTAATTTTTGAGCGTAAACATTCAGAGGTTAATATTGTTTCTTTCCTTGTCTCTTCCTTTCTTTAAGCTTGGAGAAAGAAGAGTATTTATACCCGATTTCAAAAACTGTTCAGTTGTTTTAGGTGTTCAGAATTAAAAGGAGCTAAGTATATGAAAGTAGGGAGCTATTTATTACCTAGTCTGGTAGACAGGCCTGAAGTCCAGATCCCTGTCACCTCTAGAGACTGTCAGTATTAGCCCAGGAAACATTAGAGTCCTGGTATTCTTGTAGTTTATTTCCCTCTTTGCCTGCTGTCTCCTGGCTGAGGCTACTTTTCTCTTTAGGCTCTACCTCTCACCCTTATGCTGTGACTAAATACTCTTGAGTTCTCAGTTCCATTCTCACCCCAGATGAATCGATCATTTTCCCTCTCTCCCCTGTATTTGCTCCTACTATGAACCTTCATTAAGATCCCATTTACTCACTCATCTTTTCTGTTGCACAGTGTTTCTAACAAAATCCAGTCGCCTTGCTGTGATGACTCTGAGATAGAGGGTACTAAATAAAGGTTAATTACCTTAGTAAGCAATTCATTACATTATTTTTTCTAAAAGCAGTTCATAGTTTGAGTTGATATGAAATGGTGTTTGGTTTTGGATTTTTTTTCTGCTCCTTTTCTTTCCATAAAAATAAGCAGACCTGCTGTATAGCACAGAGAACTCCACTCAGTACTCTGTGATGACCTGTGCGGGGAGGGGTCTAAAAAGAGTGGGTGTGTGTGTGTGCAGCTAATTCACTTCGGTGTGTAGTAGAAGCTGACACATTTTAAACCAACCGTACTCCTGTAAAAACCGAAAGGAAAAGAAGGAACAGACATAACTCACCTCATCCACACATGCACACGTCCACACTCCACACGTCCACGTCCACACTCCACACGTCCACGTCCACACTCCACACGCCCGCGCGTCCACACGCCCACACTCCACGCTCCCACACGCCACACGCCCGCGCGTCCACACGCCCGCGCGTCCACACGCCCACACTCCACACGCCAGTGCGTCCACACGCGCACACGTCCACACGCCCGCGCGTCCACACTCCACACGCCCGCGCGTCCACAAGCAAGAGAGGAGCAGAGAGTCCCCGGTTCCTGAGGGGCAGTGACTATGCTTATCAAGCGCGCATTGCTTGGGTGTGGTTATTTTTACAGAATGTTGCTACTGATTGCAGAATTAAGTATGCCGTGCTGGTCTACTGAATGCTGTCTTCTGAAAATACACTCAGATAAATTGAATGAAATCTAGTCCCCTTGGGTACCATCAGTTTATATATTGATAAGGAAAACACATACATATTCTGGCTAGGGTCTGCCTAGCTAGTACAATATATTTATTTCACTCTAGAACTCTCTTGCCTTTTTTCTTTTAAATAAGTCACACCAAACTGACTATGGAAAGACCTCTTCTTAATGTTTTCAGTGATCCATTAAAGGAATTTATGCATATTTCAGAAATGTGCTTAAATAATATTTGTCAATTTTAAGATAGTAAATTTGCTTACGCATGGCACCTTTTAAAAATAGGTTTTTTTATCAACGTCAGGAAAAGTTCACACTTCCTGGAATCTACATAGTTACTATGATCTGTGTCATTTACTTAGAGTGATGTATTGATTTTGAACAGTTTTTCCAGTATGTTTGTGTTATGGGCCTTCTAGTCTTAAAAATCAGAATTTGTTTCTTTTTGGCCTATTAGTGAATAATATACATTTGCCTGGTTTAAATAAGCTCCATTTATGTGTGACCCTCCCGAGTATTATAGGTCCTGGTTTTTAATACATTATGACAAACCCAAGTAGTTTTTTCAGAGAAGTAACATGTCTGTCTTGAGAGATCTCTGTACCAGCTACTGCTCTTATATGATAGTCATATTTACTTTGACATCTAATGATTCAATAGATATTCTTTTGATTTTTCCTTTCCTAAAAATAGATATTTTTCATATTAAGATGGGAAAAAGTATCTGAAAGTATACACTTTAATTGATAATTTACATATATTAACAATCAAATATACTTGATTCTTAATATATCTTTTTAATACCCTTTTTTCAGGAGAGTGGGGTGCTGTGTTTGAAAATCTCATAGTTACTAACTTTATATACTCCTTTCCTATAAAGGGGTATTAAAAATGACATCATGAACAACTTGTTTAATGCAACAAATGTTTATTGGGTGTCTGTTTTGTTTGAAGTATACCATGAAGGAGAACGTAAGAACCTATGACATTTTCCTTTAAAGATCCGTATTTGGGAACCTAATACATAAAAGTAATTAAAGTGTTAGTTAAATAATGATTCAAGTATAAGAAACATCACAAGGTATTATGTGCTTATTAGATCGTATTTGCAGGTAGAGGGTGCTTTTGGCCATGTAATTCTAGGGAACTGGAAGACTTATAAGAAGGCTTATTTATAAGACTTCTAGGGAAGATAGGAACTGACATGGCCTTCTTCACGGATTAATAACAGTGATTAGAAAGAAACATCCAAGCAGAACATTCTGTACAATGAAGAAATCAGTTTCATGAACAAAGGCACAGTGGTGGGAAAGCTTTGGGGAGGAGGAGAAAGCTCTCTATAACCTAGTCTGATAAGATGTGAGGAGAGGAAAGGAGACTAGTGGTTCTCTCACCTTTCAGATACAGGTCCCCCTTCCTGGCCTCCTTGCATGGTTGCGGGGAGCCTGAGACTAGTTCTGACTAATGAAAGCAGCATGGCCTCTGGACCAGAGTATTTGATGGATAGTGTGAAGCTCTGTAGTCCCTTTTCTTGGCATAGTGACCAGCTGCCTTCAAGACTGTGTCAGCTCCATGTGTCTGGATCCTTAAGTGACTGAGCAGAGCCCTCTTGACAAGCTATCCTAATGCTAATGAGAAAACACTAATGGTTTAGACCACTGAGATTTGGGAATCAGCATGGGTGAGTAACAAACTAAGGTTGTTAAGGACAGCTGGAAATAGTGAGAGAGAAGTTTTTAGCTTAGTGTTCCAAAGACTTGACATTTTTAAGAAATATGCCAAATTCACTCCCAGATTTCTGAATAGAAGATTCCACTAAAGCATGCAAACATAAACTAATGTCTCATATTAGACATAAAAAGCTAGCTTAGTAACTTGAGAGTGTATTAAAAACAACCTTGGAAACATGATCTAGGTAAAAGGAGGATTGCAGGGTCATCATCGGATAAGACAATTAAATGTATTATTTTCAGCTCTTTGTTGCATCTGTCAACATTTATCAAAATTATCCTGAGTTCTTATTTTTTCCTTGTGCCCACTCTCTGGCTGTCGTGTGATTAAGTGGTGACTTGTCGAGCTTTGTCTTGTATTTTTACCTGTCTTTAAAAATATTCAGGATCGTATTGTATTTCATATTTTCCATATGTTCTCTGCTTGTTTTTTTCTTCATAAACATATTTTCAGGTCACATTGAAGTAGTAAAGTTACTTGTGGCACACGGAGCTGAGGTGACATGCAAGGACAAGAAGTCTTACACGCCTCTCCATGCAGCAGCCTCCAGCGGGATGATCAGCGTGGTCAAGTACCTTCTCGATCTTGGGGTTGATGTAGGTGTACTAAGCAGGATGAAGAATGGAGCGTTTGTGTGTTTGTGATTTCATTGTCAGTGGAAGTTTTTTCAAATTTAAAAGATGTTTTCTTACAGTAACATTTTTGTCTTTTAATGGTGTTGTGTTTATACTCCTTTATATAATATACAGTCTGCTGATGTCTGACCAAGACATGAAGTTAGTCAAATGTGTTAAGAGGTAGAATACTTTCCAAAGATGAATGGTTGACAGAAGTTTCCCTTTTCCATCACATTCTAGCCCCCTGTAGCTTCATTTCAACTGTGGAAACCAGCAGATCAGACATACTTGGATTATTTTCCTAAGTGGCTTGGTTATTGTCAGTAGTATTCGCTCAGTTTGTCTAACATTTCTTTAAATGACTGTAACTGTTCATATTACAGTGTATTGGCCAGAAGTAGGCAGGGAAACTAGAGGCTTCTGGCCCGTCAGCTGCAAGCGTTCCTTACTATATGAATCTGTTTGGTTAGGGAGGGGTTGCTTGCTTCATATGAATATATTTGATAATAGAACTGGGGTAGCTAAGAATACCTGGAGCTCCCACAGCCCACCCTTGAGGCACATGCATGTTACACCCCACCCTTAGTAGATTTCGGGCTTCCCTGTGGCTCAGCTGGTACAGAACCTGCCTGCAGTGCAGGAGACCTGGCTCAACCCCTGTGTTGGGAAGACCCCCTGGAGAAGGGAATGGTCACCCACTCCAGTATTCTGGCCTGGAGAATTCCATGGACTATATATACAGTCCATGGGGTTGCAAAGAGTTGGACACAACTGAGCAACTTTCAGTTAGCAGATTTACTCTTATTTTAGGTACAGGTCTGACAAACTCATCTGGTTCTTTAAAACACAGATTATTTGTTGTTTAGTTGCTAAATCGTGTCCGACTCTTTCATGACCCCATAGATTGTAGACCACCAGGGTCCTCTGTCCATGGGATTTCCCAGGATTACTGAAGTGGGTTGCCATTTCCTTCTCCAGGGGATCATCCCAATGCAGGGATTGAACCCATGTCTCCTGCATTGGCAGGCAGATTCTTTACCCCTGAGCCATTGATTTAAAAAAACCAGGAGAGAGGGAGGTAATTTAGATCAGCTGGAAAGACAGAAAGATAGTTGGTGATCTGGTTGAACTATTTATTAATTTAAGGACTATGTGAAGCACGTAATTTTTGAAAGATGGAGATCAGAAAGCCAAACACAGGTAGAATCTTGTAGAGTGCAAACAGATGAAAGGTTTTTTTTTTCAACTCAGCACTTCCTATAGCTCTGTTTCAGCACAGAGATTATAATGCCCAAGAGACCCTTGATCTAGATAAATGAGACAGCCTACTTGTGGTCACTGTTTCAAGTCCGTTCTGGGACAATTTTTAAAGCATATTTTATTGGCAGCAAAATAAACTCTGGTGAGAGCGTTCTTTCAAAAAAGTGGTCAGACTTGGAGCCACTTAGTGACCCACGGCCTCTGATTGCATGACTCAGCTTCTAAGAGCTGCCATAACAAAGGGCCATGGAGTGCGTGACTGAAGGCAGTAAACGTAATCTCTCAAAGTTCTGGCAGCTCCGAGGGAGAATCTATTCTAGGTTGCCAGCTTTGGGTGATGAAATCTAGATGATTTGACTAAAGTTATATGTGGCTTTTTCAGTTCCTCTAATTTCTGTTACTGGAGATCTGAGAAAGGAAAATGTTAAAGTTGTGATAAGCTGGGCCCAACCACAAGGTTAGAGGGCACAGAACTACCTTCAGCTTTGATGATTCACTAGAAGGACTCCAGAAACTCACTGAGCACTCTTATACTCACAGTTATGATTTATTACGCAGAAAAACTACAAATTAAGATCAGCCAAAGGAAGAGACACGCAAGTGTTCTAAGCACAAAGCTCCCGCTGGCCTCTCCCTGCAGTTAGGACTCTGATCTCCCAGCGTCAGAGTGTGGCGCACGCACGCAGAATTGCCAACCTGAGCTTTGTTATCAGTTTTGTTGAGATTCCACTACATGGCATGGTTGATCAAAATTGCTTGTGTGATTGATTTCAGTCCACTGAGACCAAGCGATCCAAAGCCCTTCCCCCAAATCACATGGCTGTTCTTTGTGGCCCTGCCCCCCCCCCCGCCCCCAAAGACCACCCACTGTGCTGATCCTACTCTCAGGGCCAGGTGGCCAGCTCCCAGCCTAGACCAGGACACGTCTATCAGGTGTTCCATGGGGTACCTCCCAGAGCAAGGGGGCGAAGGTAAAATTCTCCATTACAGGGAAGCTGTGTAAACTTGAAAATATTAAGCCAATATAGTTTTTAAGGAATAGAAAGATAAATTTGGGTTACATGAATTATTTCTCAGTATTGATTATATTGTTTAGAGCATATTTGTTTTGGTAACATATCAGTATATCAGTATATAGGCTGGAAAATATCTAGAGCCTAAGTTTGTTGAAAAAATGAGTTAAATAAATAGGAAAGGATATTACTCATTTTTTAAAAATCTTGCTGTCTACTAAAAACCAACTTTCATCTTTGGTCACTGTAAACGAACCAGGAGTAAATATGTGTGTTTTAAATATATGTCAATTTTCAGTTTGTGTTCATTTTTCATGACTCTTAGAGTTAATTCTATAAGTGTGTATTATCTAGAATGCTTTTTAAAATATGTTTTTATTTTCCTAAAATACCTCTTGGAATCATTCAGTTTTATCTTGAAATAGAGATTGTATATATGAATTGTATTTCCTGATGGTACAAAATCTATTTGACATCAAAATGTTGTAGTTATGTTCATTTTTTTAAAATCAGTTTAAGATTATGAGCCTTATCTGTATTATTTTTCCCTGTTTCTCACTTTAATAATTTGATTTCAACCACAATGTTGTTAAGGTAGCTCACAACACTAATAATTAAGAAGACTGCATTAACATTGACATTTTTGTCTTCCAATAGATAAATGAACCAAACGCCTATGGAAATACACCTCTTCACGTAGCCTGCTACAATGGACAGGATGTTGTCGTGAATGAACTGATAGAGTCTGGTGCTAATGTAAATCAAAAGAATGAAAAAGGGTTTACTCCTTTGCACTTTGCTGCTGCATCTACACACGGAGCATTGTGTTTAGAGCTTCTAGTAGGCAGTGGGGCCGATGTCAATATGAAGGTAGGAAGTCAAATCAGAATCCCTTCTAGTATTTCAGGGTTGCACTGTATTAATACTGTTGGTAGCACACACCATTTAGCAATAAAAAGGAATGAGTTACTGGTACATACACAGATAAGACTTAAAAGTACTATGCTGAGTAAAAGTGTTACACAAGAATTTGTTCGCTGTTCCCACTTATATAAGGTTTTAGAGCAGACAAAACAGTATTGGGGTGCCAGACTATCTATAGTTGGGGGTAGAAAACAGGACAGTTATTGTCTCTGGGAGGAGGGACTGATAAAAAGGCCTGGGGGAACTTTCTGGTGTGGTGGTAATGTCCTGTATTTTGACAGCTTTGGGTTATATGAATAAAAATTAGTCAAAACTCATCAAGTGGTACATTTAAGATTTCATAGGCCTCATTGCATGTAAATGTTCCCTTAGAAGGTTACAAACCAAGCTAATATTGAACCTTAGTTAATGATACACATACTGAAGTGTTTTAGAGGTAATAAGTAGTGTTATCTGTAGCTAATTTTGAAAAGTATCATTTAGGGACTTCCCCGGCAGTCCAGTGGTTAACATTCTGAGCTTCCACTGTGGGGCAGGCATGGGTTTCATCCCTTGTTCTGCGTAGCACACAGCTTGGTTTAAAAAAAAAAAAAATCACTTAATAGCGTGGGTTGGGTGGAGAGAGACGAATGTATGATAATGTTCATATAGTAAAATGTTAGCAGTAGACTCTAGGTGGTATGCATATGGGTGTTCACAGTAATATTATTTCAACTTTCCTGTTTTGAAATTTTTCACAATGTTAGAAAAATTAAAAGATGAATATCAGTGTTTTACATACAAGGAATAGTTGATTTTTGGTCAGTCGCTTTCAAGAGTGAGTATTTGAGTTTTAGAAATACATAAAAGTTCTGGAGCCACAATAAATGTACTTTTACTGCATAAGTCTTTGGAAATGCACATGTAACCACAATTTTGAGCATAACTACTTTATAATGTGTAATGGTTGTTTATATTTTCCAAGTTGCTTTCACTGATTGTGTCTGTATTAATTTATTAATTCATTCTTTGAGCACTTGCCAAACCGTGGCTTGTGGTATGAAAAAAAGAAACCATTAAAAAAAAAAATAGAACCATTTAGGATTAGTAAAAACGTTTAAGCTTCGAATGTTTTCAAAGCTTAATTACATAAAATTCCAGCTCCTTTTGTAGGTGTGATGAGCTGGTGTCTTTCAGACGGTCGGGAAAGGAGTCTCTGTTTTCTCACCTCTAACTTGAAAACCTCCTTTTAACAATGCCACTGACCCACTCTGACAGCTGTAGTGGCAGCAAGCCCATCTATATTTAGGTCATTGCTCTAAATTGCCCTCTGCCAGCTAAAGGACAGAATTTATACATATTAAACCATGGAAGGAAAGAGCATAATGTATTTTTTTAAAAAAACCTCTCTGGTATGAATGTCTCTTTTAAGAAAAGATGTTTACAGCTTTCAGTTCTCAGTCAGAGCACCTACTGAAGTTTTATTTTTAATAATTTAAATAACTTCTAAAAATTTCCTAATAACAAATTTGAGCTGCCTATTTTGATTTGAAGAATTCCTGCTGTTTGGATAATCAGTGCTCAGAAAAAAAATTCTTACAGGAGCGGAAAGTTCATTACTTGTTTCCTCAAAAGCCTAGTGATATTTTTTAGTGAAGAGTATTTCAAAATAAAAAAATTTGAAATTATCTAACATTTTTCAAATGAAAAGATCTCATCAGATATTTTTAGTCTATATCTGTTTATGATAAAATGACTATAGTTAAAATTATCTTTGTTAAATATTAAGTATCTTGGAGTAAGAGAGACTTACATCATTAACTGTTACACATTTTTTAGTTTATCAGTTGCTCAGTAAAAATTAAGCTTTCTGTTTATTTTATACAGTGCCGTTTAGACAAGCAGTTACTATAGTTTGAAGATAATTGATTATTTGGTTCATGTGTCATTGCCTACGTAACTGACTACCTGTGGTTATTTTTAAGTCTTTTGTTTTCTTTTGAAATGTAGAGATGATAATTATTTCTACAAGGGGGTTACTTGCTCTTATGAATGGTCCTATTTGATGTTACTTCCTTAATGATTTGGAAAATTCAATGGTGGATTTTACAGATGACAAGGGAATATTTTAGCAAAGCAGTTAAGATGTGGTGGTGAAGTAGATTTGAAGACAACAGGTCATGACATTGATTTAAAACTGATTTCATAAAAGTTGCTTTGGTCTTGTCTAAGGATGTCTGACTTCCTGCTGATGCACAGCTGTCCAGTTACCTTAGCACCAAGCTTACTGAAACACACTCTCCAGGTTGTTGATTTCTGGGTACCATCCAACCCTGACATTATATAAAAACTGTTGATAGTAGTGAGTTTTTGAGTAATAAGAATGTGTTTTCATTCAAGAATACATCTTCATTCCTGACACCAGTGTTTCCTATATTTGTCAAATGGTTATTTGGAAGTGAAAAGTGAAAGTGAAGTTGCTCAGTCGTGTCCAACTCTTTGCCACCGCATGAACTGTAGCCTACTAGGCTCCTCTGTCCATGGAATTTTCCAGGCTATTTGCCTTAGAAAGAAAATCATACTTGCTGACCCTCAAGTCCTCTTTATCAAGTCACCTTTCTCCTTCATCTTTTCCTCCCATTTTATCCTCTATTTTAATGTTTCTAACCTGATCAAATTGTGGATGACTTATATTTGGAATGTAAATTTAGGTTTGTAATTATTCAATTTGTAAGTTTTTAAATTGATTGTCCTACAAAATACTATTTAGATGTAAAGTGAATGTTTTTATAAAAAGAGCAATATAGGTCTGGTTTTTCATAACCTTGCTTATCATGAACCCAGCCACACTGATGATGTCACTTCCCTTTTTCCCTCCATTCTTCAAGTGCTTATTCTATAATCAGTTACTCTAGAGGATAGAAACTCTATAGTATGTGTGTTGAAAGTAAAAAAAAAAACAACAATTTCATGCAACATACCCAGTTGTCAAGCCAGGTAGCTATTATACCTTTTCCCACCCCCACTCTATACTTTAAATTTTGGTTAGATAACCAGAGTACCCCAAATACTTCTTTCCTTTGTGATAATCACATGTATGTTTTGATTAACAAAATAATTGAGGGAAGAAAAGACTTTACCTAACTCACGTAATTCAAGCATTGTTTTTCTTCATATTTGAAATTCCTCTGAAATTTCAGAATTTCTATCTTGAATACACATGCACGACCAGTCTGGTTTATTATTTTAAGTAATTTGAGAAAATAGTTAACAATATTGATGACATGTAATTATAAACTAAATAATGTATAAAGTTTTTAAAGTGAATTATAGTGGCTGAAGTTAATTCTGACATTCACTTTTCCTTGGTCAGGGAAGGATTCAGCATTTCTTTTAGGACAAAAGAATTGTAGCAGTGTGAAAATTTTGAACCTTGAGCAGCAAATCCTGGCTGTACCACTTCCAATGATGTGACCTTGGTCAAATCATTAGTATCCTTGTTCTTCAGTTCCCCCACCTGTGAAATAGGAGTGATATTAAGATTATAACACACCTACCACTCGGGACCTTCCATAAACTATAGGCATTGTGTATTTGTGCTTTATGGTATACATTCTAAAACATTAGTTCATAATTTCAGATAGCTGTTTTACTGCCATAGACATTTATTAAACCTAACACTTGAGTAATAGTCATACGAAATAAAGTTGCAAGAGGATATTCAAAATAAAATGAACAATTACGTGTTATGAATATAACCAGAATTTTAAATCTTCTTTGTGTCTATTTCAGAGCAAAGATGGAAAAACTCCACTGCACATGACTGCCCTCCATGGTAGATTCTCCAGATCACAAACCATTATCCAGAGTGGTAAAAAGTATTTCTGTTTGTTTTTTTTCTAAAGTGTAGTAAAAGCATCCACATAGTGAATGGTATTGAGGAAGTGTCATAGCAGTATACATATTTTTTATGTTTGATATCGTATCTCATGAAAATCAGATAATGGAGGATTTTATATGCCATGTACATGTATCTTTTATAGTCATTTTTCATTTATTTCTGTATTGTTTCGCTTAGATTATTTATATAATATCACTAGCAGTTAGTACTGGCTTTTAAAAAACATGCTAAATAGAAAAATAACTCTGCCTTTCCACTGCAGTTTGTATTATATATTGACAAAACTCAGTTGCATTTCTCTTTCTCTTTTTGAATATTTTGAACTGTTTTTAGCATTTTCATTTCTTTTATAAACTTGTATTATTTTGTATTTGAATTAGTACTAGGCAAGCTAAACTTTTAAATAAAAAGAACTTTTGGGTACATTACTTTAAGGCAGTGTTTCACAAACCATGTTCCAAAGAACTGTTTGTAAGTAGTATTGATACTTAAGACAATAGCTGTTCTCATTTGGCAAGGAAAGGGTAGGAATAAACTCATGATCAAATAATTCATGAGGCATTGCAGACTGTCTTCTGATTTTTAAATCTATTAAAATCTTATGCTCAGTTCACAAAATTGCTTTAAGTATAAAATCTGTAGTCCCAGTGCCTGACCAGTAACTGTGCTGTGGATGAGATCTATGGGTTTTATTCCTCCTTTGCTGCAGGAGCTGTAATCGACTGTGAAGATAAGAATGGCAACACTCCCTTGCACATAGCGGCGAGGTATGGCCACGAGCTGCTCATCAACACCCTCATCACGAGTGGGGCCGACACCGCCAAGTAAGTGCGTGCCGGGCGTTGATGGCTTGCCAGGGAGGGCGCGGCTTTTCTCAGTGTGGTTCTCTCTTGCGTGAGCTTTTTCCTCTTTGTGTTGATGATGTAATAGAGTGTTTAATATGACTTCATTGGGTCTTTTTATGTTTTTTATCCCAATTCTTTATGGATTATGACTAATAAGTTAAAGTTTCCATGTAAAACTTTGTTTGAAAGATGGATTCTCTTGCATGCTCTGCAGAAATACACACCCTACTTAAATTGATGCTTATCATTCTTATGTGTATTTTTAAATTTTTATTATACTTTTATATGTTCATAAATATGTTTTAAGTTTTCTTTTAAGCTTTCTAAAAATGGTATGCTACTGTACGCTTCATGAAACTTTTTTTTTCACACGCAGTTGTTGATTTAGCCATGTAAATATAAATTGGGGCTTTTTTTTTCTTTCCTCATCTCTGTAAGTAACTCTAGTTGATTTGTTTTATAAAATTTAATTCTTGTGTAAAGATTTCACAGTTTATTCATTCTCCTCATTTACAAACACAACTTACTTTTGGTTTTTTACTGCTGGGAAAAATTACTGCAGTAAACAATCTTAAGCAAAATATTTTGCCTTGTGGTAATGATTCTTGATGGCAAAGCAGGTGGGATGATGTTTGCTCCTGAGACAAATGTCTGGAGTCATTTTTGGTTGTCCTGATTTGGGGAGAGAGCTGTTGTCATCCAGTGTGGGTCGAGCCCAGGGCACTGGGGATGTCCTGCTGTCTGCCCAACACACACAGACCCACAGGAAGTCCACAGTGACCGTAGTCTGAGCTCGAAAAACCCTGCTCTAGGAGGAGAGTTGCGGAGAAGTTAAGTAGTTTCTTTTTACTTACTTAAGTGATCGCCTTTTTCTCGCATTGTGGTGAAGATACTGTCCTCTTTGCTTTAGACGTGGCATACATGGAATGTTCCCCCTCCACTTGGCAGCCTTAAGTGGCTTTTCAGATTGCTGTAGGAAACTTCTTTCTTCTGGTGAGTGGAGCCTTCACAGACAAATTATCCTCTTTCATGCTTCCCCCACCTTCCCTCCATCCTGCTTTTGCAAAATGATATACAAATACGTCCAAGTATGGATCATTTATGAACCCCTCTTAGAAGATGTTGGGCCCTTTAAGATTTTATATTCTCTTCAACTCTGGGAAATGTTTTATTTTTCTAGTGATTTCTTCCTCTCTCTTAGTTGGGGAATGGCATGTGGAATATTTCTGAAGTAGTCCCTTTATGTCTGGAAGCAAAATATCGTTTGCATGGTTCCTTTTTGAGAGCCAGCAACCAGTTCACAGTATCTTCTAGGTCTGAAATTTATACCATATTTAATTACTGTTTTAAAATGCCACATAGTTTGAAACAAAACAGGATCAGTAGCTTTCTGTTAATATAAATATTACTATAAAGATCTTTATTAAAATGCATAGAAGTACTAAATATATAAGATTTCACTTTAAATGATATTCTATTAGCATGTTACAAAAATTGAACAGATTTTATATATTATTAATACTTAGGAGTGCTGAAAGAATTATGGGAAAGTTTCTGGGAAAAATTAGCACATTGTGAGATAGACCCTTCTGAGTTTTTCTTAATGAGACCTTTCTTCCTCCCCTTGGCTTTGCTGGGTCGTTGCTGCTGCGAGGGCCCTTTCCTAGTTGGGGAGAGCAGGGGCTGCTCTGTAGTTGTGGTGACGAGCTTCCCATTGCACTGGCCTGCCGTGCAGAGCCCGGGCTCTAGGCGTGCCGGCTTCGGGAGTCAGGGCTCCCGGGCTCCAGGGAGCAGTCTGCGCAGCCGTGGTGCATGGGCTCAGTTGCCCTGCGGCGTGTGGGATCTCCCCGGATCAGGGATCGAACCTGCGTCTTCTGCATCTGCATCTGCGTTCTTTACCACTGAGCCACCAGGGAAGCCCTCCGTGATAGCGTTTAAGTGAGGTGATTGTGTTTCGAGTGTTTTAAGTGTATGCGTGCCACAAGTAATCACATAGCCATTTATCTATGAAAGGGAATTATAAGACTCTCTTCTCAGTGTTAATAGTAATCCACGGGTAGCAAAGGAAAAGGTTTTACTGAGAAACCGTTCATGGGGCTTCCCTGGCAGTCCAGTGGTTAAGACTCCACACTTCTCAAGGCAGGGGGTGCAGTTTCTATGCCCGTCTGGGAACTGAGATCCCACATGCCATGCAGTGTGGCACACTACCCCCCCCACATGTTCATGTATCTTACAATTTAGTATATTCACAGAGATACGTGACCATGACGACAGTGGGTTTTAGAACATTTTCGCCACCGCCTGCACCCAGACAAATTTCATTTGGCATCAGTTCCCCATTTCTTCCCTCCCCCAGCCCTTAGTAATCAATAATCTACTTTCTATCTCTAAATTTACCTATCCTAGATAGGTTGTAGAGGTGGAATCACCTAACGTGGTTTTTTGATTTTTTTTTTCACTTAGAAATGTTCTGAAGGGTCATCCAGTGTTATAAGTATGTATCAGTAGTACTTCATTTCTTTATATTGCTGAATAATATTCCATTGTATCCTATGACTTTTAAACAAGTACTCTAGCATGTTTTTTAAAAACCCCAGGCTTTTAGTGGTAATTAAAAAAAAATACATTACTAATCTGTTATAAATTAATTCGTACCTATTTGTAAGTCATAGTTTTGTGTATGATGGGGTGTGATTTTTTAATTGTTAATGTAATGCTTTAATATAAAGTAACATGCATATAGTATTATGTAAGATGTATTCATTCTTGTAGGATTTGATATAGATACCCCAGATGATTTTGGCAGGACCTGTCTGCATGCAGCTGCAGCTGGAGGGTATGTTAACAAAATTTTTACTTTTTTTAAGAAAAAGAGAGCTGATCATGGCAGGTTTTTCTGTTGTTGTTTTGTAAAATATAAATCATAGTATTTTATTCACTCTGCCCTCATTTGAAAATGTACTTTTATACTTACTTAAACCTATCCATTTCATCATAAAATTATTGACAGTTGCATCTTCTCATTGTATTTTTCCTGGGTAGTAATTTGGAGTGCCTAAACCTTCTGCTGAATACTGGTGCAGACTTCAACAAAAAAGACAAGTTTGGAAGGTGAGCTGTGGTATAGTTCCTCTGTAGCTCCCGCTTAGTGTTATTCACTTAATGACTTTCTTCATATTATAATTTGGCTTCTGTGTGTTAGTCACTCAGTCATGTCTGACTCTGCAGCTCCATGGATTGTAGGCCGCCAGGCTTCTCTGTCTATGGGGTTTCCCGGACAAGAATACTGGTGAGGGTTGCCACTCCCTTTTCCAGGGAATCTTCCTGACCTGAGGCTCCAGCCCACGTCTCCTGCACTGCGGGCGGATTTTTTACTGTCCGAGCCGCGAGGGAAGTCTTTTAATGACTTCGTTAATCTTGTTATTTGGCTTCTGTGAGTTAACTAAAAAATTTCACATCTTTTATGTTGTGATCATGATTTGTTGAAAAATTCCAATAAGTAGATAACTTCTGAATATTCATTCTTACCCACAACCTTCTTCCAACTGGGCCCCTGCCATAGGCCCAGCCTACCAGCCACAGCTTTACTTTATAAGCACTACATACCTTTTATGATGTCATTCCCCCTCTTGCTTTATAGCTATGAATATTTAAAACTATGTGGTACCTGTGCTCCCTAAACAAAAACTTACAAGAGCAGTGGTAGTTCTCCATTCCCTCAAGTCATTCTTTCTTAGACTCTCTGGCCTAGTTTTGGTTCCAGAGCACAGAAGGAGGGAGGAAACAGGTTACTGAAGTGAATGCAGAGCAGAGCCCTGTGTCACTCAGCCAGTCTGCATCCTCACTGTTCAGCCCCAGACCTCACTGTTGCCTGCATCTGTGACTGCAGTGATTAAAGCCACCGGGGTCTGCTAAGTTACTTAGAGTGGGAATCGACCCAGTGTCTGTTAGAACCATATAGGAAAGGGTGGAAGGCAGTTTGAAAAACAGAGGTGAGCGTGTTATAGTGTATACAGAAGTCTAATGTTGTACGCATGCAACTTGTGCAGTGTTACAAACCAGTGTTACCTCAGTAGAAAAAGAAAAAGAAAGGTGGCAATGTGAGCAAAATTGTGTGTCAGCAGTTTGAGAGTTATATCATAGTATGCAATAAGAGAGGGTATGTGTTAGAAGGAAGTGTGTGAACATATATCAGCACCTGGGAATGGTATAGTGCAGAGGTCAATAGAATCACATGTGGTAGGGAATCACAAGTGTGTGAAAGAAAAGTGAAACCAACTGTCCGACCGCGTCATTCCTCTCAGGAACAGAGTGTTCTCATAAGCCTTCTGACAGAAGGAGCCAGTGACCCAGGAAATCAGAAATCACTGGCTTTGGTGTGCAGTATTTTTATAGCTAATTTATGTTTGTAATCGTGCTTTTTTTTTTCCTTTTAAAAATTATTTATTTTATGTGTTTGACTGCACTGGATCTTCATTGCTGTGTAGGCTCTTCTGTAGCTGTGGTGAGCAGGGGCTCCTCTCTGGTTGCAGTGAGTGAGCGTCTCGTTGCAGTGGCTCATTGTGGAGCACAGGCTCTAGGGCATGCAGGTGTAAGCAGACTTTAATCCAAGTTATAGTAGTTAGTTTGTAGTACATGAAGCATTGTATGCTACAGATAGGGCTTCTGATACAGGCTTGAAAATAATTCAGGATTAATTGCATTTTCAAAACTCCTGTTACTATATTATACTGTTATCCAACAAAGTAAAATAATGCTTCACTGTCATTTTACCAGGTAAATATTTTAGAAAACAATATGCCATGAAGACTCTGGACTAAATTCACCTTCACTTTTCTGTTTTCTTTCTTCTTCCTCTTTTTTTAAATGAAAAGTCATGAATCATTACAGTTTTGTAATCTAAATACAGAAACTCCTAAATTTAATAGCATTCTTTTTCATGTCAGTAACTGGAAAGAAATAATCTACAAATATTCTGTCTCTAGTAATTAACACAGTACCCTAGCTCTTCAAAGTGATGAAAAATCTTCAAAACTATGCATTTTTTGCTTGAGAAATCTGATTTTACTGTGCAGCTCTCCCATACAGTTGATATAACAGCATTCTTTTTAATACTTCTGTATTTTTCTTACCATTTATTCCTCTGTCAAGACATAACAGAAGTTGCTACCTCTGTACCATGAAGCATTTGTATTAGTATAGGGGAAGCTTTCTTAAAATGAAAACTCTTCTCAGTTGCTGATGGTATTAGGGAGGGAGGAAAATACAAGTTTTGGAGCAGAATGTGAAATGTATCCATGATTCACTCAAAGAAACTGTAATTGTTACTGTCTGAGCTATGAAATACTTTTAACTGTGTTTCTGTCTTATTTTACATTCTTTTCCTTTTAACTATGGTTCTGTCTTATTTTGTTTTCTTAGAGGCTGTCAGGGATCTTGGTTTCTCCTCCTAGCTTTCTGTCTGGCCCTTTGAAAGACTTAGTGTATGGCAAAAATCAACCTCCAACTTACTATAAATACAGTGTTTATAACCGGGTGGATCAACTGGGCTCATACTTCCTGGGCTGTGTCCCTGACTTTTTTTTTTTTTTAATTAATTTGGGCAAAAAGATCTCCATTGCATTATGCTGCTGCCAACTGCAACTACCAGTGCCTGTTTGCTCTCGTGGGCTCCGGAGCAAGTGTGAATGACCTTGATGAAAGAGGATGCACACCTCTGCACTATGCAGCGACGTCAGACACAGATGGCAAGTGAGTACCATGTGGTGAGAATGAAGGATTATTGTTTCTATAGACCAGCATCTTCCATACAGATGGTGACTTTTATAGCAAATTTGTATTTTCTTTTTGTACTCTTTATTATTTCTTTCCCTGTCTAGTGTGGAAAAGTTGTTTTTATAGTTATTCTTAATCATAGTTATTACTGCCTGCTGCTACTCAGCAACCTGCCTTATGAACTAATGAGGTGGTAGAAGAAAGATAAAAGGTCCTTTTTGTCCTCCCTTCCAAAAGCAAATCTTAGTATCTATCACTTCCAAGCTTCTTCCACCTGACTTCTCAGAGGCAGCAGTGTTGAGTGTATCATAGGGAAAGGGAGAGGCAAGAGGTAGACAGACAGTGCCGTCAGAAGATAGGGCAGAGATTGGAATGCCAGTATCCTTCAGAGGTAGAGCGTTCATATTCCCAAGGGATCCCTGCAAGTTAGTGTTTAAATGGGGAGTAATTGAACTAGCAGAATTGGACACATAGTTGGTACTAAATATTAAGTAAATTATGTAGTCAGCGAGTGAGTAAATGTTGCCCAAGGATGACTTAATAAAAATGAATGAGAGATTTATAAATTCTTTCATAATTAATATTCACCTGAAGTTGGTCAGATGTCAGTACCTTAATGTATATTGCCTTCTTGGAAGAAAATGAGCTCTTTAGAGATAGAGAAGATATCTTCAGTATCTGTGGTATTCCCCATGAGTCTGAGTCAGTGAAGGGTAGAAAATAAAAATAATGGTTTCGAGGGAAAGGTTTTATAAAATATACTTCAAGAAAGTTGCATTTAACAGAGATCTGTTTCCTTATAAAAAGCATAATTTAATGATATTATTCACAAATATAAATTTATTATAAATTCTGTGACTGTAATTGCAAACCCCTTTTGTTATGTTGGATTTGTGGTTAAAATTCTAATCTTGAAAGCTCTAGTAAATATGCTATCAGCGCATTGTGTCTGCTGGTTTTGCATCTGCAGATTTGGGGAGCCAACTATATTCATTGTAGGGTTATGTTCATTTTTTTATAAGGGACTTGAAGGTTCATGGTCTTTGGTATCCACAAGCATTCTTGGAACCAATCCCCCTTGGATACTGAAGAATGACTGTATTTTCTCTTTGAAGAAATATATCATTTATATAGTTTCATATATATCAGAATAGTTAAACATAGATAGTTTTCGAGAGAAGCTATAAATTATTTGAATTATGTTTTTGGATAGTATAGCTTTAAAGAAAATCTGTGATAAACATTTTGCAAATCAGAAAGTATTTTGGTAAACTTAGGTAAGTAGATTATTCTCTATTTTATAAATTTTGTAATTTCAAGATTTGATTTATAGGTTTTCCTAAAATAGATTATAGCTAAAGTGATTATATCATTCTAAATGATAGAATCATTTACAGGATAAAGGTAAAGGACCAGTAGTCCTTTACCAGTGTTCCCCTCAGCTGCTTATTGGATATTATTGCCCAGCATGATGCACATAAATTCCACTGGGGTCACATAGACACAGAGATTATCCCGTTGTCCTCCTGCCCTTAGACAGTTAAACCTGAATTCCTACACAAAAACATAAAAATGACAATGCTCCATCTATACTGTTGGAGATTTGTGGTTTTATTATAAGCCAGTCTGCTTTTTCTTTAGAACTGTAAGTGAAGTGAATTAAATTGTTAGTTTTCTTAACTAATATAAGCTGTTTTGAGCAGTAGGCTAGAGATATTTATTACTTAGACACTTAATTCTCAGTATCTATACAAGCAGCCTGATGTACTAGAAAGAACATGAGCTTGATCCCAAAGACCCAGTTTAAGTGTTGAGGTCTTCATTTTGAGCCTAAGCAAGTAATTGTTAGGCAAAAACTTACTTATCTATATATTTAGAATGAAGCCTGAAAAAGTGAAAGTGTTAATCACTAAATTGTGTCCAACTCTTTGCGACCCCATGGACTATAGACCTCCAGGCTCTTCTGTCCATGGAATTCTGCAGGCAAGAATACTGGCGTGGGTTGCCATTCCCTTCTCCGAGGGATCTTCCCAACCCAGGGATCAAATGCAGGTCTGCACTGCAGGCGGATTCTTTACCGTCTGAGCTACCAGAGAAGCTAGATTCTTCGACCTGTGTGACCGCAGTTTTCCCCACAATTCTAAGAAGGCTTCATTCTCAGAATTGTGGGGGAATCTGAGGGCATGCCTGTTAAAGACTCTAGCACTGTTTTTGGAGCCTCTTTCTTATTTTTAAAGTGTCAGAACCCCTGAGGTCTTGTCTAGCACCATCATGCACTAACTCTGATTTGTTCCCTGGGGACCTCTGGTAGCTCTGCACCACAGTAACCACGGAGTGCCAGAGTCATTCTCCTAGCACGGTTTGGAGACTTACATAGTAGAATTTAAAGCGTTGGTTTATTTTTTTGGACTCCAAGGCTATAAATTCTAGGTATTAGGTTAGGTAATAATAAGAGAATCTGGAATAATTCATTCTGCTGCCAAACCCAGAGTGAAATGTTTTCTAAAAGGAGAAACTAATTCCCCATGGCTTCAAATACTGTTACTCAGTAATGTGTGTCTTCTGGCTTCCTCCTTTAATGGTTGGTTGATAATGTCCTGTTACCCTCCCCAGGGAACGCTGCATATACACTGTGGGATTTCTGACACGCTGCCGTTGGTTCTCTGTTTTCACAGTGACAGAAGCTAACTTATTATAATTAACGTACAGTTAGTAGCACAGTTCTCCTCTCCGTGTGTCCCTCTGTCTTCAGTTTCCGTAGATGTTGGGAAAACACATGACATCGTTTCCACTCACCCTGCTAGTCGTCCCTGTCATCCTGATGCCTGCAGTCACTGTAGGCAGTCCTGACTCAGCAAACAAAAACATTAAATGTATGCAGTATTTATAAACAAAACTCTCTTTGCCATTTGAACAAAAATAGGGCTGGCTATGAGCACAAGGGTGAGGACCTGGGGCTGGGGTTGCTTATTCTGATTACATATAAGGAAGAAATCCTCCTCACGCCTTTTCTTCTGTGATAGGCGACACTAACACAAGTATTTCCATAAATTTATGCAGATCGTTTCATGTCCCTCATACTGTCAGATGGTTATAGATACATGTGTTTATGAATACATAGATATATTTCACTAAGATACACTTTAGTGGAGATAAATTTTCACAAAAATGAAATCATATTTTGACTTCTAATAACATTGTGTATTTTTGTCTGTTTTGAGCCTTATATAAGTGGAATCATATGTTCTTCTTGGAACTTTTATAATCTTAGGTTTATTTCTAAGTATTTCATATTTTTACTGCCAAAATAAATCTTACCTTTAAATTTCCTTGTGCTATGAAATAGAGAAATACGTATGACTATTGTATACAACTTTGCATTCAGTAGCCTTTTTAACTGTTTTGTTTATGCATGTAGGACAGCATTAGGTTTGATACTGGTACTGTCATTGCTGTGAGACCTTGGTTAGGTTACTTAAACTCTCTGTGCATTTCATCTGTGAACTGGGAGTAATAGTCTGACCTAACACATGGCCATATGAGGTTCAGCTCACTTCAGTCTCTCAGTCGCGTCCAATTCTGTGATCCCATGGAATGCAGCATGCCAGGCCTCCCTGTCCATCACCAACTCCCGGAGTTTACTCAGACTCACGTTCATTGAGTCAGTGATGCCATCAAGCCATCTAATCCTCTGTCATCCCTTTCTCCTCCCGCCTTAATCTTTCCCAGCCTCAGGGTCTTTTCAAATGAGTCAGTTCTTCACATCAGGTGGCCAGCGTCAACATCAGTCCTTCCAATGAATATTCAGGACTGATTTCCTTTAGGATGGACTGGTTGGATCTCCTTGCAGTCCAAGGGACTCTCAAGAGTCTTCTCCAACACCACAGTTCAAAAGCATCCATTCTTTGGTGCTCAGCTTTCTTTATAGTCCAACTCACATCCATACATGACTGCTGGAAAAACTGTAGCTTTGACTAGACAGACCTTTGTTGGCAAAGTAATGTCTCTGCTTTTTAATATGCTGTCTAGGTTGGTCATAACTTTTCTTCCAAGAAGCAAGTATCTTTTAATTTTGTGGTTGCAGTCACCATCTACAGTGATTTTGAAGACCAAGAAAATAAAGTCTGTCAGCATTTCCACTGTTTTCCCATCTATTTGCCAGGAAGTGATGGGACCAGATGCCATGATCTTAGTTTTCTGAATGTTGAGCTTTAAGCCAACTTTTTCGCTCTCCTCTTTCACTTTCATCAAGAGGCTCTTTAGTTGTTCTTCACTTTCTGCCATAAGGGTGGTGTAATCTGCAAATCTGAGGTTATTGGTATTTCTTCGGCAATCTTGATTACAGCTTGTGCTTCATCCAGCCCAGTGTTTCTCATGATGTACTCTGCATATAAGTTAAATAAGCAGGATGACGATATATAGCCTTGACGGACTCTTTTCCCTATTCAAAAACAATCTGTTGTTCCATATCCAGTTCTGACTATTGCTTCCTGACCTGCATACAGATTTCTCAAGAGGCAGGTCAGGTGGTCTGATATTCCCATCTCTTTAAGAATTTTCCACAGTTTATTGTGATCTGCACAGTCAAAGGCTTTGGTGTACTCAGTAAAGCAGAAGTACATGTTTTTCTGGAACTCTGTTGCTTTTTCGGTGAGCCAATGAATGTTGGAAATTTGATCTCTGGATCCTCTGCCTTTTCTAAATCCAGCTTGACCATCTGGAAGTTTACGGTTCACATACTGTTGAAGCCTGGCTTAGAGAATTTTGAGCATTACTTTGCTAGAGTGTGACATGAGTGCAATTGTGCGGTAGTTCGAGCATTCTTTATCATTGCCTTTCTTTGGGATTGGAATGAAAGCTGACCTTTTCCGATCCTGTGACCGCTGCTGAGTTTTCCAAATTTGCTGGCATATTGAGTGTAGCACTTTGATAGCATCATCTTTTAGGATTTGAAATAGCTCAGCTGGAATTCCATCACCTCCATGAGCATTGTTTGTAGTGATGCTTCCTAAGGCCTACTTGACTTCACATTCCAAGATGTCTGGCTCTAGGTGAATGATCATACCATCATGATTATTTGGGTCATGAAGGATCTTTTTTGTATAGTTCGTCTGTGTATTCTTGCCACCTCTTCTTAATATCTTCTGTTGCTGTTAGGTCCATACCATTTCTGTCCTTTATTGTGGCATCTTTGCATGAAATGTTCCCTTGGTATCTCTAGTTTTCTTGAAGAGATCTCTAGTCTTTCCCATTCTGTTGTTTTCCTCTACTTCTCTGCATTGATCACTGAGGAAGGCTTCCTTATCTCTCTTTGCCATTCTTCGGAACTATGCATTGAAATGGGAATATCTATCCTTTTCTCCTTTACCTTTCACTTCTCTTCTTTTCACAGCTATTTGTAAGTCCTCCTCAGACAACCATTTTGCCTTTTTGCATTTCTTTTTCTTGGAGATGTTCTTGATCCCTGCCTCCTGTACAGTGTCACAATCCTCTGTCCATAGTTCTACAGGCACTCTGTCTATCTGATCTGATCCCTTGAATCTGTTTGTCACTCCACTGTATAGTCATAAGGGATTTGATTTAGGTCATACCTGAATGGTCTAGTGGTTTTCCGCGGTTTCTTCAATATAAGTCTGAATTTGGCAATAACGAGTTCACGGCCTGAGCCACAGACAGCTCCCAGTCTTGTTTTTGCTGACTATATAGAACTTCTCCATCTTTGACTGCAAAGAAAATAATCAATCTGGTTTTGGTATTGACCATCTGGTGATGTCCATGTGTAGAGTCTTCTCTTGTGTTGTTGGAAGAGGGTGTTTGCTATGACCAGTGCGTTCTCTTGACAGAACTCTTATTAGCCTTTGCCCTGCTTCATTCTGTACACCAAGGCCAAATTTGCCTGTTACTCCAGGGGTTTCTTGACTTCCTACTTTTGCATTCCAGTCCCCTATAATGAAAAGGACATCTTTTTTGGGTATTAGTTCTAAAAGGTCTTATAGGTCTTCATAGAACCGTTCCACTTCAGCTTCTTCAGCATTACTGGTCGGGGCATAGACTTGGATTACTGTGATATTGAATGGTTTGCCTTGGAAACGAACAGAGATCATTCTGTCGTTTTTGAGATTGCGTCCAAGTACTGCATTTCAGACTCTTTTGTTGACTACGATGGCTACTCCATTTCCTCTAAGGGATTCTTGCCCACAGTAGTAGATATAATGGTCATCTGAGTTAAATTCATCCATTCCAGTCCATGTTAGTTCGCTGATTCCTAAAATGTCGATGTTCACCTTTGCCATCTCCTGTTCAACCACTTGCCATTTGCTTTGGTTCATAGACCTAACATTCCAGGTTCCTATGCAGTATTGCTCTTTACAGCATTGGATTTTACTTCTATCACCAGTCACATCCACAACTGGGTGGTGGTCTTGCTTTGTCTCCATCCCTTCATTCTTTCTGGAGTTATTTCTTCACTGATCTCTTGTAGCATATTGAGGTAGAGTGTCATATGAGATAGAGTATCAAAATTGCTTAAACAGTACCTGATATGTTATAGTCGTCCTTTGAGGATGAGCTATAGTCTTTAAACTGCGTAGTATCTGTTTCACGTAAGAACTGACTGCTGTGTGTGCCCTGTGGTCAGGGGGCGTTCCGAGGCCTCCGGTGATGGTGCCGTGTCCCCTGCCCTCGGGTGAGCGCTCCTTTCCCCGGGCTCTGACCAGCCAGGGAGCACGCGGGACGCGTTCAGTCTGAACTTGTGCCAGAAAAAGTGGTGGGAGTTCATGGTGGTGGAGGAAGAATAGGAGAACTTTAAATAGTTTGAACATCTCCCCAGTTTAAATTACATGCTTAATTGGGATGAAGATATTTAATTTGTCTAACAGATGAAGAAAACAAAGTATTCAACAGTGAGTATGCTTTATTACTTAGATACTTAGTATTACTTAGATACTTAGATTACTTAGCCATAAATATTCCTCCAGATTTTGCATATATAGTTAATTTTAGGGGAAGGAGGGTTTCATAGAAAATTTTCCTTTCTTAATTTTCTAAGTTTTATAAAATGAGCATGTGTTAACTTACAGTGAGAAAGAAAGTGAGGATCAACTCTTTGCCTTCTCATTTGCAAGTCAAAAGTGAGGTCTAGATTTTCAAGATTAAAAAGTTTTGTGGTTCAGTATTTTATAAATACCTGGGTTAAAGTGTCACTAACTCATTAACCCATGTGCTGAAGCATTTCTAGCAAGGAAAGAACACTTGAAGAAAAGACACAAGGTCTAGTCCTTGCTTTTCCATATTGTAACCAAAAGATTGGGAGCAAGTGATTTAATTTTCCTGAATGTCAGTAATTTTTTCATTTGTTAAAGATAATGCTTACAAAGTAGTTATGAAAATTCATACTGCTTAGCAAAATTTGAAAGGCATGACAATAGAAGTAATTTTATAGTTGTAAATCAACTTTTAGTCTTTGTTTTGCTGTAGGAGGCAAATCATCTAATAATGTGAAGGTAAACTATTTAACACTATAATTGATAGGAACTTCTGCATGTATTATGGTTGAATTATTTCAGACCATTTAATGCTGCATACTTGCAACTAGTCACGGTAAGTAGTGCTTTGAGACTTGCCCTCCTACTTCACAAAGTAAGCATGAACTAACCTACTTGTTTTGCTTTCCTTAAATAAATCTTTTTTCCCCCCTGTACTCATGTATCAGCAAGTTATCTTAAAATAGTTTGTTCCACTGATAGAATCTGTCTTGTATTCAAGTATTGGTAAGGAGAACTATTTCTGTTTTGTCATTCACATCTAGAAAACTTGATTAAAGATGGAAAGATATGCCCTTGAGTGAAATGTTTGTGCTTTTAAAGCAGACTTAATAAAAAAACATGAATGGTATTTAGATTATTTAGTTGAATTTGTACCTCCATCTGTAAGATGAATAAACAGAAGCCATTTTACCATAAAGGTGAATAAACTATTTGTCCAAGGTGGATGGTATCAAACTAACTCGAGAGATAAATCTTTTAATTTCTAACAGTACTCTTTTATTGGCTGTAGTAACAATAACATTTATCACAATTATAACAAATTGTGAATCATAAAGTCCTTTTAAAACTGCTTCCTTCATCGTTTAATATGCGCATAGGAATAAAGTGTATTTCCTGTGAAAAGGTCTTTCTTGTTACCTGTATACCAGTTGTACATTGTCCTCATACTGCTCAGATCTCTAAAGCAAGATCTGTAAATTCCGATCTTGGTTTTGGGAGATATTTTTACATCCTTTCTTGAGCTTCCTAATGAGATATCATACTTACTGTGTGGTCCAGATAGATTAGATGCTCCCCACCACTAGGAGTCTAATCCTATCAAACACTGAGCAGGCTGACTGGTGCCATAGATGGACAAGCTGTGAATAAAGGAGATTCTCTTATGAACGTTTAATTTGTAGTTTTGTGACACAGTCAGTGTCATTTAAATGATAAATTTATGTAGTGTAGACTTGTTTATGATTTTTACATTATTCGAGTGTAAGAAAAATTGCCAGTTTTGAGTTTGTTTTTGTCGTTGGTTAAAATGCAGGATTTAGAATTTTGAGTATGTCTTACTGTAATAGGTGCCTGGAATACTTATTAAGAAATGATGCAAATCCAGGGATCCGGGACAAGCAAGGATACAATGCCGTTCATTATTCAGCTGCATATGGTCACCGTCTGTGTCTTCAGCTGGTAAGAATCCTGAGTTCTTGTGGAAGGACCAATGTGAGTTTATGTTCTAATAATGCAATGACAATGAGAATAAATGAATCAAGAAATAAATGCCTTGTAATATCTTTAGAATCTGTTTCCATCTTAAATTCACACTTACCTCATTAAGCTTTCTTTCATTCCCTTTTCCCTTTCATGGCAAAAGGGGACAGAAAGAAATCAGATCTCTGGAGAGGTCTCTTTGTGTCCTTCCCGTAGAAACCCCATGCCCACCTAGCGTTCAGTGCCCCTGCCTCTTGAAAGGTTTTCCAGAAGGCGTTAAAGAGCTGTATCTTTGTGACATGTGAGAAACACATGTCCCTGTGAGAAGATTCCCCTGTATATTTAGGGATTCTGAAAGGCCCAGTCTGCTAGCAGTCTGTCCTGAAAGGGGAGGCTCACCTGCCGCAGCGGAGCTTTTATTTCAAATGCGGCCTCATTCCTGAGTGCATGCACCATTCACCCAGCTCAGCCAAACCGAGAGGCACGTTCAGTGACTCTCCGGTCTGCGGTTCATGCCTCATGCTGCAGGTTTCTCCATTTAAGTTTCTTTATAAACTAACATTGCTTTCTTCAAAGTGGGGGTAAAATTCAAGGAGGGTGGGTATAAAAAAGAAAAAGGAGGTTGTCGTACTTAATGTAGCGTTTAGAACCTGCTTCAGAAACACTGTGTTCTTAGGCTGGTGTAGTATTTCTAGACTAAAGTCTGAGGCCCACGTATACGGATGTTTGGTCTGCTGCACAGTTGTTTACTGAAAAGACTAAATGTTTGGAGGCCAAGAAAGCGCAAGTTCAGAAGAGAGTTTAACAAAGCCATGGGTGAACAGAGACGTGTAGTTTGCATTATCTCTTTACTACATGGACTGCTTCTTCAGCTCAATGTTTTTATTTTAAATTTTATTTCAGATTGCAAGTGAAACTCCTTTAGATGTTGTAAGTATTAATTGGTTTTCCCGTTACTATTCAGAGTATTTAAGTATTTGCTTTCAGTCGAACTGGAGCCTGTCTGACACATTCCTGGGAACAAAGATGGTGACAGAAATCATGTTTATGAGGGAGGAAGAGGGAGGAGGTTCTTACTTGGTGGCAGTTAAATAGCATTTCTTTCCAAGTCAGAGTTTGTAGCCATTCCCTCAAAACTCTTAGTGTGTGTTCCAGATTTTCAGGATAATCTATTCTGTAAGGTTTCTGAGTTTAGTTTTCATAATATAATGTTCTGGGATTTTTAAATTCATGTTCAAGTATCCACTTATACTCTAAAAATGGATTTGAACTAGGGGGAGGGGGACCAGGAATACCCGCTATGGTATGTCTAAAAGTGCCATTTCTGACATTTAAAATTCTTTTCCTTCTCAGTTAATGGAAACATCGGGAACAGACATGCTGAGTGATTCAGACAATAGAGCAACAATAAGCCCTTTACACTTGGCTGTAAGTACTGCCTTCACAGCCAACTTGATGCCTGGTTTACTGAAAATATCTCATCCCTGTTTGTGCTGACTCAAACTAGGACTGAGAACTTTGGGTCCTGATAATGATCATAGAATTAAATCTGTAAGAACTTGCTTAATAGAGAATTCTTGAATGTGCTTTTGTTTGTTTGTCTTTAAAAAGAAATGGGGGGCGGAGAATGGGTTTAATTTCCCCCAGACCTGCTCTAAGGAGATAATATGCCTGAGATGTGAACTTTAAAATGACCCACTCTAGTGGAATGGCTTCTGCATTCTTAAGCAGATTATATAAGAACAATAATTTCTGTGGCATTTCTACAACATTTTGCTTACTTTGTGATTTTTGGGGTGGTAAGTGTGTCTTCACTGGTCCTTCGGTTGCTCATGCTATGGGATTTAATTTCATGATTTTCTAGCTTCACTAATGTCCATCACTAAAAGGAGAAGGTTAGGAGAGAGAGTGACAGTTAAGTCATATACAGGAATGAATTACCTTACATCCGTAAGCAGGGCTCAATCTCACTCCTTCTGTGCTGAAAGAATTATCTTTGAAACATAGCATGTTGTGGGAGGTGGGGGACTTTGAGAATCAGGAGAATTGGGCATGGTCACTGTTGTGAGACCTCTGGTTTCAAGCTGCAGTAAAATGTTTTAAGGGTCTGTACTTAATGTGTGTCACTAAAAGTTCAGTGACCTGTTTGTTTCTTCTCACAAATACTATTATTTTTTGTCTTAATATTCTTCTGGCATATTTTCTGACACTGACACATGTACACTGAATTTTCTGCCTTATCTTTCTGCCCCTTTCTCCCCAGCAGTACTTCTTACCATGGTCTAAATAACTAAGAAGACGTGCTGAAGCTCCTTGCTTCCTTGCCCTTTGGGTCTTTGGAAATACTATGTACTCTTCCAGACCTGCATAGTAAATAAGTCATCTGGAAGTGCAGAGCCAGCATGAAGAAAATAGCCATTTTACTATGGGTGGCAAGAAATGATGTCTGAGAGGGTGTAGACAGTTCTTCCTGCATTGTTATCGTCACTCTTACAATAATAGCACCTCATCTCTTAAACACTTACTAGGTGCCAGACTAAGCACTTTGTCAAGTTTTTGAATACATTATCTCAAAAGTTTAGTTCTTTTAACTAGTTCTTTTACTCCATGGCTATTGTGAATAGTGCTATTATGAACAGAGTGTGCCAAATAGTATTTTTAAGCTGAAATGAAAACAGTTTTGTGATTTTTATAATCAGATTCAGTGAAATGTGGTTATACCACCACTTTGGCATTTTGTATCTGTCCCTAGGTGGTTTTCAGAAATTACCTAAGTGATTTTTTTAACTTCCAAACTCCCAATCCGGGACAACTTGCTGCAGTGAAAACACACTGACCTGAGGAAACCGGCCTTGGTCCTGCCTTCACACATGCTAGACAGCCCAGTCCCTTGTCCTAACCCAGTCAGAGACATCATGAGGACAAGAGCCCTGTGCACATCATCCTGGCTTCTAGTTGCCCTTCTTTTAGTGGCATAATTTTATTGAACTGGTACTGAAGAACAAGCCTAGAGGTGATCTTCAGACAGAGAGTTGAGCTCAGTGATCTCAAGCGATCAGTAAGGCCCAGAGCAGCTTTATCTCCTGCTGCTCCTTTCTGCCATTTCCCACAAGAAGCAGCTTAACAGCCCTTTGGTACAGTGTGGGGCCCTCTTTCTAGCTAAAGACCTCTTTTTAGAAGCAAGTGATATTTAGCACAAGCATGGTAGGATTTTATATTTTTCAGTTCTAAATGAAAAGTTCACATGGGATCATTTACAGTTTTGCCTGTATATGCTAAGCTGCAGGTCTGAACAGTATCAGAAAGTCACTCATTGCTTATCTAAAAGGGGTGAGGTGAGTGAACAGAGAAGACATTGCTTCCCCACCAAGAACTGTGTCTTTCTTGCCTTTACATCCTGCTCAGCGTCCAGTCCAGTAAGCGTAATAGATGTTCAGTTGACATGTTGGTTTTGAAATGAGTTCTCTGGAAAGCCCCTTTATCAGATTGTGTAAAGAGGGGGTTTCAGACGAATCTTAAAATCTCCTTGCTCTGCTGTACACGAGGACAGTGCCTAGCACATGGCAGTTATTCCAGCAGGGCACAGTTTAAATGTTTTTGAAAAGAAAATTTTTTTTGAGATACACACACATGGTAGGATAGGGCAGTCATTTTACTTTGAGAAACCAGAGGACACAAGTACCAGCTGAACTTCAGCTGCTGCTGTCTCTTGTGACTGAAGCGCAGTAACATTCTATCAGTGAAGTGGGACACCCAACTCTGATGCAGAACCTGGGCTTTGGAATCATGAACTTAAAGTGAAATCTTCCTTAGAACCCACGTCACACATTACAGAGTGTCTGCCATAAACTAGACATTGTATACCTGTGAAAAGATTGCCTGTCATTTGAACTTGTATCATTTGTGGAATACTCATCCCTAACACTGCAGCCTACTAACTGATTATTAGAAAAATTATAGTTAACTTTCTGAGTTACCAATACAGAAGTTTTGGATCATCTTAAATACAATGATGTGAAGACAAGTTTGCTTACTCCTTTATGTTCTAGGGTTTCTAAGAAGTCAGTCTAAACATATGTATTATTTTAATTTATATTTTTGTTTGTTCCTAGGCCTATCATGGTCACCATCAAGCCCTGGAAGTGTTAGTACAGTCTTTGTTAGATCTTGACGTGAGAAATAGTAGTGGAAGAACACCCTTGGACCTTGCAGCATTTAAGGGCCATGTAGAATGTGTGGATGTTCTCATTAATCAGGGAGCTTCAATCTTAGTCAAAGATTATATTTTGAAGAGAACACCTATACATGCAGCAGGTATGCCAAAGACTATGAATGATTTTATTTACCACTTTCTGTCTAGTACTCTCTTCTTTTTCACTTTCTTGTATATTATACTCCTGGTTTAAAGACTTTGATTGTAAAAATTCTAGTGATTCTACTCTCAGGGAAAAGACAAGAGCAAGATTATAATCACTTTTTAAAAAGTATTATCTACTTTAGAAATTGGATTTATATAATAGTCTAACTTTTGAAGTACTTTATCAGCAACACCAAAAAGTACAATATGTTTTTACTTCATTTTGATGGAAATTATCTTGGATTGGTGTGTGCTTTCATTTAACAACTGGTAAATATTTTACTTACTGTACCAGGGTACTACATTAAACATTTAATCAGACAGGAGTTACAAAGTGTCTGTGTGAGACCTACTTCATGGGGTGTTCTGTGATGTTGTGGACTTGTGAAAATGGAAAGCCACATAACCCTGCCACTGTGATGACTCGGTACTCTGTGTATCACTACAGATAAGGAGTCACCACTCTCTACAGGAATTACTACAAGCAGTGTTCATTTTAAATAACGAATTCAAGACTGATATAGGTGAAGAAGTCCTAGTCAGGTATTTTTCTCATCCCCACTACGCTATATAAACACTCATCAGTAGCCCGCTGCTGTGCACTGAGTGTCAGTGAATCAGTTTGAAAAAAAGATGGGACTAAACAGAATTTCCTTGAAGCATCCACAAGGATCACATCTAAAATCAGGAAAGGAGGATAACTTTCACTGTCAGGGATAAAAATATTTCCCAGCTTCCCTTCAGACTTCTAAACGTCTCAGTGGCAGAGCTTGAAACCAGCCATTGGGAAAGGAGAATGTGACTGACCTGTCTAATCGCCGTGTCGCCCGGTGGCTGGAGGCAGGCTGCCCTTCCGAAGTGCACTGCCACCCCCAGAGAGCAGAATCACATGAGCAGTTTCTTTCTTGTTAAATTCGATGAATATTCTGAAATTATATCAAGAAAATGTGGTTTAAGATGAACATTTTCTGTTTTATCATTTTATATGTATATATAATTGCTGAAATTTTTAAATATCCCTTACAGCAACAAATGGTCATTCGGAATGCTTACGGCTACTAATAGGAAATGCCGAACCACAGAATGCAGTAGATATTCAAGATGGAAATGGACAGTAAGTTTTCCCTGTTCTTTAATTAGTTTTGGGATCTAAGACAGATCTTCACTCTTCATACTTTTGCCCCTATTTTGGTAAGTCTGGCATAGTGTGTAACTGAGTGACGTCCAATGCAGCTTTTTAAGTGTCCTTTAAAGCTGAGTCACAGAAAGAAGGGCTTGTTCTGAAAGCAGGCCAGCCCAGCGTGCTTTCCCGGTGAGGTCTCGGTGGTGACGGGGCTGCCTCTGTTGTTGCCCAGGACTCCTCTGATGCTGTCTGTGCTCAACGGGCACACGGACTGTGTGTACTCACTGCTCAACAAAGGCGCAAGCGTCGACGCCAGAGACAGATGGGGAAGGACGGCCCTGCACAGAGGGGTGAGCAGAAGCCTTCTTTTCTGAAGGTTTTTATGACCTCGTTCTACCTAAAACTGAACGAGGCTGTGTTTATATTTTTCTTCATGAAGTTTTTACCAAATAATCTTTACTGTTTCTTTCACTGTCTCAGGTTTTGAACTCTGATTTTAAGCAACCACAAAGCACAACTTAATCCAGAGAAAGATAATATTGAAACAAAATTTTAAAACCCTAAAGTCTTGAATAGTCTTATACATTTTTTCTCTTCTTTCTTACACATTTTTGTCTTAACTTTTTCACCTTTGAAATATTTTCGTTCAATTAAAAGGCCCTTTTTCCTAGTTTTCATATTACTCTTATTTTGAAAAAATTACTGCTTTAACTAAATTCTCAAGCCACTTTCAATAAAAATACTCAAAATATGATAAATGCCTTGACTGGTGGGAGGACATGGGGAATATGGACTTTAAAATTCCTAATTAGCTATCATTGGTATGTAGTGCCCAACACAGCGTGTTCAGTGACATGCAGGAATTTTCTTTTCAGGCAGTCACAGGCCATGAAGAGTGTGTGGATGCATTACTTCAACATGGTGCTAACTGCTTATTTCGAGATAGCAGGGGCCGGACACCAATACACTTGTCAGCTGCCTGTGGACACATTGGTGTTCTTGGAGCCCTTCTGCAGTCAGCAGCATCTATGGATGCAAATCCAGCCATGGTGGACAATCACGGATACACAGCACTTCACTGGGCCTGCTACAACGGTTAAGTACACAGACCCAGACCCGCATCCCCTGCTTGCTGTGCGTGTGCCCAGAGAGACAGCTGGCTGTAACACGCTCTGACTTCCCTGAGAGTGTATCATATTCTAGACTGGAATGTGTTTTCTGAGCACTCTCAAGTTAAGATCTTTATATCAACAGTAACATGTATGTTCAATGTTTTAAGAGAATGAAGTCCTGATAGAAGAGATCATAGAAGTAGGAACTAGAAACTTGGACACTTTCACAGTTAAGTGAACTTGGCTGCAAGGTTGTAACAGACTTACTTTTAGCTCCCGGGAGAGTAATTGTTACCATTAGTCCTTTTACAGGTAATCTCACGAAAGGTGAGAGAGAGAAGTATAAAGCTATTTTTAAAGGATAGATGTTAAAAACAGGGTTTGGCTTTTGAATTGTCACTAAAATAATTTAAGTACTAGCACGTTGAAAGATTTGCTCATCTTCAGTAACAGTTAATTATATTATGTATAGTGTAAAACATCAATTTTGTCCAAATGTGTACTTAGGGTATTATCAAAGATATGAGGGATTTTTTATTTTTTGTTTCAAATTTCAATGTAGCATTCAGGTTATTGTTAGTCATAAGAACATATCTACAAAACTAGCTGACAATTCTAACAACTTGCCCTCAAAATGTACAGAAAATAGAAATTACCTCTTTGTATAAGATCCACTTGCTTAAAAAAAATTAGTGGCTGTTCTAAACCTCAGCTAACTGTCTTTCCACAGAGGAAGCTTTTGTTTTTTTGTAATACACTGTTTCATGTGATTCTTTTACTGGGAACCATTTTGAGAAATAATTGTTGAGTTGTAGTAAAAGAGGAGAAATATGAATCTTGCAAAGTTATATTAATAATTGAATCAAAAATTTTCATGAGCATTTTCTAGATACACTGTTTTAATTTTCGTATTAGTCCTTGTATCAGAATTCAGAGCTCTGTTCTTTTGTTCTGAGAAAGCATTGCTGTCTTCTTGAGGATTGACCACATTTGGTCATTTTGCAACTCTGAATATTGATTGTTGTTGTTGTTGTTTAGCCGCTCAGTCGTGTCTGACTCTCTGCAACCACATGGATGGCAGCACATCAGGCTCCCCTGTCCATTGCAAGCTCCCAGAGCTGGCTCAAACTCATGTCCATTGATTCAGTGATGCCATCCTACCATCTTGTCCTCTGTCATCCTCCTTCTCCTCCTACCTTCAGTCTTTCCCAGCATCAGGGTCTTTTCCAATAAGTCAGCTCTTCACATCAGGTGGCCAAAGTATTTGAGCTTCAAATTCAGCATCAGTCCTTCCAGTGAATATTCAGGATTGATTTCTTTAAGGATTAACTGGTTTGATCTCTTTGCAACCCAAGGGACTCTCAAGAGTCTTCTCCAACGCCACAGTTCAAAAGCATCAGTTCTTTGGCACTCAGCTTTCTTTAGAGTCCAACTCTCACATCCATATATGACTACTGGAAGAACCATAGCTTTGACTAGACAGACCTTTGTCGGCAGCGTAATGTCTCTGCTTTTAAATACACTATCTAGGTTTGTCATAGCTTTTCTTCCAAGGAGCAAGCATCTTTTAATTTCATGGCTGCAGTCACCATCTGCAGTAATTTTGGAGCCCCCCAAAATAAAGTCTGTCACTGTTTCCGTTGTTTCCCCATCTATTTGCCATGAAGCAATGGTAGCAGATACCATGATCTTCCTTTTTTGAACTTTGAGTTTTAAGCCAGCTTTTTCAGTCTTCTCTTTCACCTTCATCAAGGCTCTTTAGTTCCTCTTTGCTTTCTGCGATAAGGGTGGTATTATTTGCATATCTGAGGTTATTGATATTTCTCTTGGCAGTCTTGATTCCAGCTTAAGCTTCATCCCGGCAATTCACATGATGTACTCTGCACAGAAGTTAAATAAGCAGAGTGACAATATACAGCCTTGACGGACTCCTTTTCCCAATTTTGAACCAGGCCTTTGTTCCATGTCTGGTTCTAACTGTTGCTTCTTGACCTGCGTACAGGTTTCTCAGGAGGGAGGTAAGGTGGTCCGGTATTCCCGTCTCTTTAAGAATTTTCCACAGTTTGTTGTGATACACACAGTCAAAGGCTTTAAGCATAGTCAGTGAAGCAGAAGTAGATGTTTTTCTGGAATTATCTTGCTTTTTCTGTGATCCAGCAGATGTTGGCAATAAGATCTCTGGTTCCTCTGCCTTTTCTAAATCTATCTTGAACATCTGGGATTTCTCAGTTCAAGTACTGTTGAGACCTTACTTAGAGAATTTTGAGCATTATTTTGCTAGTGTGTGAGAGGAGTGCAATTGTGCGGTAGTTTGAGCATTCTTTGGCCTTGCCTTTCTATGGGATTGGAATGAAAACTGACCTTTTCCAGTCCTATGGCCACTGCTGAGTTTTCCAAATTTGCTGGCATATTGAGTGCAGCACTGTGGCAGCATCATCTTTAGGATTTGAAATAGCTCAGCTGGAATTCCAACACCTCCACTAGCGTTGTTCGTAGTGATGCTTCATAAGGCCCACGACTTTGCATTCCAGGATGTCTGACTTTAGGTGAGTACCATCACTATATTGATGGTACCATGGAAAATTTGAATAGTTAAACATGTTGCTAATTCCAAAGCTTAGTCAGTTTCATTTTTTTTTACTGTCCCAGATCTTTAGCCAGAGCAGATTTGAAACTATAAAAACCTTTGGATTTCAACTCTTCCTTTGCATTACAATGTAATTTGACATCTTATAAGTATAGGGAAAATCAAATAGTAGTAAAACATCTAGAGATGTGAAATTTATTTAAGAAATCAGTGAGATAAAACTATTTTGAAGCAGACTTTTATTGCTTTTTTTAAAAAAATCAGAATTAGCTGTTAGAAACATCATACAGTAAGGTATTTTTCCTCAGGTAGAGCATTTAGTTGTGAAAATACTGCTATAACTGTCCTTTGGAGAGTTGGTGTTTATTATTATAACATTCCTACCAGGTCCTTCTGGAGAACACAGTTTTCTTTAAGTGAGTTCCCTACTCTATCACTGCTGAATTTAGACTCTCTGAGCACATTGTGTGCAAGACACAAAATTTTGCCCAAACTACATGCCGGGTTCCCATTTAAAGATCATAACAGATGTGTCTAATTTCCAGGCTCTAGTAGAATTGGTAATGATTCTGAATTGAGCTGGAAGGAATTAGATGTATGTTTCCTCTATATACAGAGAATGTAAAGGCATTGTAAAATTAATACCATATTTACAGCCAAAAGGCTATTTTATAATTTTGGCCTTCTGAGAGTAGAATATGTAAATAGTTTTACTTTGACTAGTAATTGTACAGCTGAAAAGAAAATTGGAAGCACTCCAGCAGAACAGAAAACAGTCTCTTAAAATGGAATAATGGCGACACTTTAGAAGAGAACTGGTTATACATACATACTCAGCTTTAACATTCAGATTTTTGGTTTGTGGAGTCAATTCAGTCACAGAACTAAGAATATTTACATGATCTCATGTGTTCCTTTTAAAAATGTATCAAATTTTTTTGATGCTTGTAAGCATCTGCAAAATATCCCTCTAAACCAGTCTCCTCCTCCTTCTGTAAACCAGGACACAAAGTGAAGTTTTTCAGCTTAAGATGATGCAGCAATGCCTTCAGGCCACAGGCCTCCCTCTTCGCTGTCAGCAGTCTGCTCAGGCAGTGCCTCTCACATCTTCACATTTCAGGGCTTGTGGCTTCTAGCTGTTCATATTTACTGTGTGGTAAATTAGGACTGAGAGGTTTAAGGATATTTATTTTAAAATAGTAATAAATCCATTACATGTTAATAAAAATAGCATTTTTATGAAAAATAAGTATTTTTCAAAAAGAAAGAGTAGCAAGTTTCTCATAGCTTGTTTTAAGAAAAGAATAGTTTGCCAGTACTACCCTGGAGCTCCCAGACCACACCTTGAGAACTGCTATCCCAGGAAAATAGGAAACCCTCAAATCAATACTGGACCATTGTCCTTCTCTCCTTCTTGGCCATGAGTTAACATTTGGAGAGGGAGAGTTAGAGCAGGGTTTCTCAGCACTGTTGACATTTGGAGCCAGATAATGTTTAATCCTTTGTTGTGACTGTCTTGTGCTTGCAAGAGGTTTAGCAGCAGCCCTGCCTTTTACCCACTAGATGCCACAGCACTTCCCTACCCCGTCTCCATTTTTTTTTTTTTCATTTATTTTTATTAGTTGGAGGCTAATTACTTTACATCATTGCAGTGGTTTTTGTCATACATTGAAATGAATTAGCCATGGATTTACATGTATTCCCCATCCCGGTCCCCCCTCCCACCTCCCTCTCCACCCGATCCCTCTGGGTCTTCCCAGTGCACCAGGCCCGAGCACTTGTCTCATGCACCCATCCTGGGCTGGTGATCTGTTTCACCCTAGATAATATACATGTTTCGATGCTGTTCTCTTGAAACATCCCACCCTCGCCTTCTCCCAGAGTCCACAAGTCTGTTCTATACATCTGAGTCTCTTTTTCTGTTTTGCATATAGGGTTATTGTTACCATCTTTCTAAATTCCATATATATGTGTTAGTATACTGTAATGGTCTTTATCTTTCTGGCTTACTTCGCTCTGTATAATGGGCTCCAGTTTCATCCATCTCATTAGAACTGATTCAAATGAATTCTTTTTAATGGCTGAGTAATATTCCATGGTGTATATGTACCACAGCTTCCTCATCCATTCGTCTGCTGATGGGCATCTAGGTTGCTTCCATGTCCTGGCTATAATAAACAGTGCTGCAATGAACATTGGGGTGCACGTGTCTCTTTCAGATCTGGTTTCCTCGGTGTGTATGCCCAGAAGTGGGATTGCTGGGTCATATGGCGGTTCTCTTTCCAGCTTTTTAAGAAATCTCCACACTGCTTTCCATAGTGGCTGTACTAATTTGCATTCCCACCAACAGTGTAAGAGGGTTCCCTTTTCTCCACACCCTCTCCAGCATTTCTTGC